CAATTTAGAACGATTTCTAAGACAGATTAAATCTCCGCTTACGCGATATAAGCGCGAAATATATCGCGCGTTAATTGTCCTAATTTGGTCAAAACGGCAATCTTTGAACCACATTACTCTTCGAAAAATGATCGTAGGTGAAATATTTTTTCAAAATTAAGCTCAGGACAACAATACCTCTTGAATGATATAAAAAATTTTTGTCAAAAATGGCTAGTTAACAAGTCGAAATTTGTCTGAAGAATCAAAATTACCCCGAACACAAATATTCCGTAATTTTTGTTTTAAAATTCGGAACACGAACAATAATCTTCCTTCAATCAATTTGGAATGACTTGTAAGACAGAATAAATCTCCTCTGACGCGTTAATAGTGCGAAATATATCGCGCGTTAATTGCCCCAAATTGGCCAAATTTTGGGACAATCGCAATCTTTAAACCCTCATAACTTTACGAAAAAAAGATTAAAGGTAAAATATCTTTTTAAGGTTGAGCTCAGAACAACAGTATTTCAACAAAGTACAAATATTTCGTCTTATTCTCTGAAATTCGGAAAAAAAGATGCACTAATTTTGTGTCTAGGTCTAAATAATCTTGCAACTCCGCAAAAAAAAGCTTGTAACATATGTTGACAGCTGACAAAAAAATCAAATAATTTTGCTTCTCGTTCTGCCAACGCATTTTTATTATTAGGTTTTCCAAATAGTGGGGGTGTAAGAATAACTTACAATTTTTAAATCCGCAATTGTCTACCAAAGTAGGCGATCGTAAGTTTTGATCTAATAGGTGAAGCAGCTTCAATGAAAGTTCAAATACAGGCCACGCTGATGCCTTTTTGATATTCGCTTGAGTCGAGCTCAATTGTAAAACGTTAATATATTTCTTACAAAGCAAGAGTAAGCTTTCAGTTTCACGCGGCTGGAAAATAAAACAAAACTGCTCGGAACAGGGCGAAGCCATGAAGGCTCCGACTGCTTTCAAAGACTATGGAGCAGTAATATAAAATGGAAAATTAAATGTAATAAAATAAAAGTGAGGTTTTTTGAAATAAAAAAGTGAGGGTTTTTGTAAAAACATCCCCCAAACGCCATATCAACTACAAAGTGATAGGTTTTGCTGCTATTAACAAATATTGGCATACCGGTTTCCTTGAACTAATTTAGAACGATTTCTAAGACAGATCAATCTCCACTTACGCGTTATAAGCGCGAAATTTATCGCGCGTTAATTGTCCTAAATTGGCCAAAATGGCAATCTTTGGACCACATTACTCTTCGAAAAAAGATCACAGTGTAAATATTTTTTTAAATCTAAGCTCAGGATAACAATACCTCTTGAATGATATAAAAAAAATTTCGTCAAAAATGGCTAGTTAACAAGTCAAAATTTGTCTGAAGAAAAACACCCAACCCGAGCACAAATATTCCGTTACTTTCGTTAAGAATGTCGGAACAATAACTATAACAACAATGATAGAGTTTTAACAATTCTTTCTTCAGCTTATCCTCGGCCATGATTCGAACAACGCAAATTTAATCGCGATTTGTAGGAAATCTAATTTGGTTTACCACTGAACTCCATCTCCCTTTTAATTATGGTCCTCATTTTGAAGGAAAAAAAAACGAATTTAAATTTCTTTCCAAAGTTTACTGAACAGTAAATAAACAGTAAATAAACGACAATTTTTGAAAGTTCAAAAATTTTTAAACCGTAAAAACAGATATTTTTGATACGACGAGCTAATGAATAACTTTTGATGGCAATGCTCATAATTTGATAGGTCTTGATTCCTAATAAATAGCGAGGTTTTTATTTTTTTCCAATTTCAGTTTCAGTTGCTCTTCAACTAGTGACAGAGTGTGATTGTGAGGTTGATTTTATGTGTGCGTATGAAAAGGAGATGTGTCTGGATGACTCAGACTGCTGTGCTGGTCTCCACTGCAGCCCAATGGTCATTGATCTCTTCCACGCCAGATATTTTAAAAAATTAAAAATTAAAAAATTGAGAATTTTTGTAAAAAAAAACCCGCACGTCATATTAAGTGCATAGTGATAGATTTTGCTCCTATTAATGAATTACTTATAGTAAATAAGCTTCCTTCAACCGATTTGGAACGATTTCTTAAACGGATTAGATCTCTGCCAACGCGTTAATAGCGCGAAATAGATCGCGCGTTAATTGTCCCGAATTGGCCAAAATGGTAAGTTAAAATTTAGAATCTCTTTGACGAAGATGAGAAATACTGAGAAAACAGTTACAAAGACCCAATTGAATACCTGTATAGAAGTGAGTATGGACGATACATCGTACTTGGGACTCCATCTGTTCTGCAAAATATCCAGACAGATACCTCCATCTGCATACACGTTAGGATGGAACATCTTCGTCTTGAACTTGACAGTGGGCGGCTTGTTGGGATACTCTTCTGTGAACTCCAAGGTTGCTCACAGCACAAGAAGATTGTAGGTATGGCAAGTAAGCCGACAAGTTTGAGAAGAAACCAACTGAGCCAAAAAAAATGTAAGAAAAAAATCTTTCAAGTCCCCACTTGAAAAAAAAAACGAGCACTAAGGGCACTCTTCCAACTACAATGTAAATTGCTTACAGCACAAGCAAAATCCGTTAAGTTGCATCTTTGCCCAAAAAACATGAGCAGTCGCACGAAACGGCGACAATTCAATTTATCTCGGACTTCTTTTTTTTTCTTCCAATATCATCCCCGGCCAAGGCTCGAAGAGACGAGAAGAGAAGAGAAGAAACAAAAGAGAAGTAAATGATGTTAAAGAAAGGTTGTTTATGGGACATAAGTGTAAAATTTGAAAGAGTCATAGAAAAGCTGCAGACACTGGAGTTTCTCCAATGAAATCGTCCGAGCTGACAACCGCAATAGCAAAACTTTGTTGGTCATGTAGCCAAGCAGGTGATAAGTTGAAGTTCAAACTACCTCAGGTTCTAACAAGCAACCATGAAAAAGAAAAATGATTTACGACTGTTTTTGCATATTTTTTGTTGCCCGTACCTAACAATTGTTTTTAATTTCTGACGAGAAATATTCATTTTTCAATTAGAATTTCTGATCAGAAACTCTATATGAAACTTTAAAGGAAAACTAATATTTTTTTCTAGAAGACTCTATTTCTAAATCTTGGTTATTTTTTGTCAGCAGTAAAATGTTTTGGCGGGATTTCAGTAATCAATCTGATGTTCACTTGACAATCGGGTTTGACTTCAAGTCACAAGACCCAAGTTCACAATGAAGCCAAACCAAGTTCTCGAAAACCAATTGGCAATCTCTAAATCCCCGTAGTTTTACAAAAGTTGATCACAGGTCATATATCTTTTTAAGTGTGAGCTCAGAACAACTGTACTTTTCGATTGATACAAAAAAATTCCGTCAAAAATGGCTAGTTGAAAAGTCGAAATTTGTCTGAAGAATCAAAATTACCCCGAACACAAATATTCCGTAATTTTTGTTACAAAATTCGGAACACGAACAATAATCTTCCTTCAACCAATTTGGAATGACTTGTAAGACAGAATAAATCTCCGCTGACGCGTTAATAGCGCAAAATAAGTCGCGCGTTAATTGCCCCAAATTGGCCAAAATTTGGGACAATCGCAATCTTTAAGCCCTCATAACTTTACGAAAAAACAATCAGAGGTAAAATACTTTTTTAAGTTTGAACTCAGAACAACAGTATTTCAACAAAGTACAAATATTTTGTCTTATTCTCTGAAATTCGGAAAAAAGATGCAATAATTTCGTGTCTAGGTCTAAATAATCTTGCAACTCCGCAAAAAAAGCTTGTAACATATGTTGAAAGCTGACAAAAAAATCAAATAATTTAGCTTCTCGTTCTGCCAACGCATTTTTATTATTAGGTAGGTTTTCCAAATAGTGGGGGTGTAAGAATAACTTACAATTTTTAAATCCGCAATTGTCTAACAAAGTAGGCGATCGTAAGTTTTGATCTAATATGTGAAGCAGCTTCAATGAAAGTTCAAATACAGGCCACGCTGATGCCTTTTTGATATTCGCTGAAGTCGAGCTCAATTGTAAAACGTTAATATATTTCATACAAGAGTAAGCTTTGAGTTTCAGGCGGCTGGAAAATAAAACCAAACTGCTCGTAACAGGGCGAAGCCATGAAGGCTCCGACTGCTTTCAAAGACTATGGATCAGTAATATAAAATGGAAAATTAAATGTATTAAAATAAAATTAAGTTTTTATTTATAAAAAAGTGAGGTTTTTTGTAAAAACATCCCCCAAACGCCATATCAACTACAAAGTGATAGGTTTTGCTGCTATTAACAAATATTGGCATACCGGTTTCCTTGAACTAATTTAGAACGATTTCTAAGACAGATCAATCTCCGCTTACGCGTTATAAGCGCGAAATATATCGCGCGTTAATTGTCCTAAATTGGCCAAAATGGCAATCTTTGAACCACATTACTCTTCGAAAAATGATCACAGTTTAAATATTTTTTTAAATCTAGGCTCAGGATAACAATACCTCTTGAATGATATAAAAAAAATTTTGTCAAAAATGGCTAGTTAACAAGTCAAAATTTTTCTGAAGAAAAACACCCAACCCGAGCACAAATATTCCGTTACTTTCGTTAAGAACGTCGGAACAATAACTATAACAACAATGATAGAGTTTTAACAATTCTTTCTTCAGCTTATCCTCGGCCATGATTCGAACAACGCAAATTTAATCGCGATTTGTAGTAAATCTAATTTGGTTTACCACTGAACTCCATCTCCCTTTTAATTATGGTCCTCATTTTGAAGGAAAAAAACGAATTTAAATTTCTTTCCAAAGTTTACTGAACAGTAAATAAGCAGTAAATAAACGACAATTTTTGAAACCGTAAAAAAAGATATTTTTGATACGACGAGCTGCTGAATAACTTTTGGTGGCAATGCTCATAATTTGATAGGTCTTGATTCCTAATAAATAGCGAGGTTTTTTATTTTTTTTCCAATTTCAGTTTCAGTTGCTCTTCAACTAGTGACAGAGTGTGATTGTGAGGTGGATTTTATGTGTGCGTATGAAAAGGAGATGTGTCTGGATGACTCAGACTGCTGTGCTGGACTCCACTGCAGCCCAATGGTCATTGATCTGTTCCACACCAGATATTTCAACGACAAAACCGGTCGGGTATGACATTTTTCAGTTTCCAGCAATTGGTTTATGAGGAGTTATTTAGGATACCAGGCATACTTGAGAGCAGCAGTGGGATTAGGAGGGGGGAGGGGATACAGGCATACTTGAGAGCAGCAGCGGGATTAGGGGGGGGGGGAGGGGGCGTTAATTTTGCTAGTCAGACACAACTCTATAGAAGAGCGGACAAAACTGAGTTTTTATTGAATCTTTAAAATCGACTCAAAATTCGGCCCTCAGAAATTCAACCCGATGACCATACCCTTAGCAACTATTTGACGAATAAAGTTAAAGGCATCAATTTACGACAGCGTTGAAAAATTCGATTGACGCCATCCTCGCTAATGTTCACAACTTTGAGTGGGAGGTCAAGTTAAAAAAAGGAAACTTTTCAAAACCTTCAAAAATTGCCGGTTCAGTTTTGTTTCTAAATTTGAGTTTACCTCAATATTTTCGGACAGTCTTTTTTCAGCTGTTTGTTGTGAAATCAAAAAATTGTCTGGAAAAACTGAACCAAGCACAAAAATATTCATTCATTTTCTGAGAAAGTCGGAATAAATATCAGTGTTCCCGCAGAATCAAGGCCAAGAAGGGGCTCGTATCAAGGTTAATTCGTGATTTTTCCTACCATTCAGCTCCACGACCGTTAATTAGGAATCGAATTTTATCTCGAGCAAAAATCGCCCAAAGCTCACAAATTTGTAATTTTTCAGAAGTCGAGACGATAGCAAAATGCGCAAGGAACAATTTTGTAGCTAAAGAAATAACGGTTTTCAAAAAAGGGAACGTACGACTAAGAATTGATTTTGTTCTGGTGCGGAAGCTATAGAATGCAACGAGATGAAAATATTTTAGTCCGACTTTCGAAGAAAGTGACGGAAAGTTTGTGCTCGGAGTGGTTTTTTTCCGGACAAAATTCGACTTTTTAACTAGCAACTTTTGACAACCATTTTTCATACCATCGAAAAAATATCGTTGTTTAAACTCAAACTTCGAAAAAAAATCTCACCTGAAATTATTTTTTGTGAAAAAAAAAAGATTTACAATTTGAGACCATTAACGCCCAAAAAATTCCATGCTATTTATGAATTAAATGAAATTGAGTTCACAGTAAAAATCACCGATGAAACACATTTTTCGTGAAGTAATGGGGGTTTAGAGATTATTAATTTGAGACAATTATTGAGCAATAAATTCCAGGCTATTAACATAAAATTTGACTCAGATTTCACAGTAATAACCACCGATGAAAAACTGCCAAACCAGTTTTAATAACATGGTTCATAGACGAAGCCGTGTTATTTCGTAGATAGATGAATTAGCGATTTTTTATCCATGAACATCGACAAATTAGCGTTAGTTTATTGATGCTTTAGCGCTGAAAAACTGAAAAAATATGGTTATAAAGAAGCCCTGAACGTTTCGACAGCTTTTAAAGTTCTATTGAGCAGCAGTAACATGAAAAATATAAAAGTGATTTAAAAAAATTAAAAATTAAAAAATTGAGAATTTTTGTAAAAAAAAACCCGCACGTCATATTAAGTGCATAGTGATAGATTTTGCTCCTATTAATGAATTACTTATAGTAAATAAGCTTCCTTCAACCGATTTGGAACGATTTGTTAGACGGATTAGATCTCTGCCAACGCGTTAATAGCGCGAAATAGATCGCGCGTTAATTGTCCCGAATTGGCCAAAATGGTAAGTTAAAATTTAGAATCTCTTTGACGAAGATGAGAAATACTGAGAAAACAGTTACAAAGACCCAATTGAATACCTGTATAGAAGTGAGTATGGACGATACATCGTACTTGGGACTCCATCTGTTCTGCAAAATATCCAGACAGATACCTCCATCTGCATACACGTTAGGATGGAACATCTTCGTCTTGAACTTGACAGTGGGCGGCTTGTTGGGATACTCTTCTGTGAACTTGTTGGGATACTCTTCCAAGGTCGGCTTGTTGGGATACTCTTCCAAGGTCAGCCGGAAGGTTCCATCTTCAAAGGGGGTGTCCATAGGTCTGCGAGCAGAATTTTCAATAAACATAACTATTAGACAGCTGGAAACATTTTACAATAAAACCAAAAAAGTACTTAATTTTGAAGCATTTTATCAAGTCTTAAGGTCATAGAATTTCAAAGATCTTTTACGATAGAACTTCCAAAATAAAATAAAACTAACCAAAATTTAAAACAAATTATTCTTCCGAGAAATATAAAGAAGAAAACTGCTTTTGAGACAAAATTTCACCCTTTACTCACTTTTGTCGGAAAGAGTAACTTACTATCCAGAAAAAAAATATATCACATCTTAAAGCTGTTTGAAATTCAAAAAACTTTGCGAATGACACATCTGATTAAAAAAACTATCCAATCTACTGAAACTAGACTCACAGCTTTTTATTCATCTAAAATCCTAGAAACATAGCCAACAGAAAGTTGGAAAACAGTAGAGAACGCTAGGAAACAGAAGAAAAGCAATGTTTTTTTTGAAATAATTATCATCTTTTCAAAGGTTCGAATTTCAAAGTAAACAAGACTGCTTGTATCAGGGCGAAGCCCTGAATGTTCCGACTGCCTTTTAAAGTCTCTGGAGCAGTAATTACATGATAAACTTGAATGTAAAATAAAAAATTTTGAAAACATCCGCCAATAGTCATATTAAGCACAAAGTTATAGATTTTGCTTCTTTTAACAATTAATTATCGCAAATAAGCTTCCTTGAACCAATTTGGAACGATTTCTTAGACGGATTAGATCTCTGCCAACGCGTTATTAGCGCGATATACATCGCGTACTAATTGTCCCAAATTGGACAAAATGGTAGTCTTTAAACCCCCATAATTTTATGAAAAATGATCACAGATGAAATATCTTTTCAAGGTTGAGCTCAGGACAACAATACGTTTTGAATGATATGAAAAACTTTTTGTCAAAAATGGCTAGTTAACAAGTCGAAACTTGTCTGAAGAAAAGAAAAGCCACCCGAGCACAAATTTTTCGTTAACTTCTCTAGGAAAATCGAAACAACAAAAAGCTTCCTCAAACCAATTTGGAACGTTTTCTAAGACGGATTAAATCTCCGCTTACGCGTTATTAGCGCGAAATATATCGGGCGTTGATTGTCCCAAATTGGCTAAAATGGCTATCTTTAAACCCCATAACTTTCCGAAAAGTGATCACAGGTGAAATATCTTTTCATATTTAAGCTCAAGACAACACTACCTTCTGAATGATATATTTTTTTTGTCAAAAATGGCTAGTTAACAAGTCAAAATTTGTCTGAAGGAAAAAAAGCTACCCCGAGCACAAATATTTCGTTACTTTCTTTAGGAAAGTCGGAACAACAATAAGCTTCCTTAAAGCAATTTGGAACGATTTCTAAGACGGATTAAGTCTCCGCTTACGCGTTGATAGCGCAAAATATATCGCGCGTGAATTGTCACAAATTGGACAAAAATGGCAATCTTTAAACCCCCCATAATTTTACGAAAAATGATCTCAGGTGAAAAATCTTTTCAAGTTTCAGCTCAGAACAACTGCACTTTTCGAATAATACAAAAACGACCTCGAGTACAAATATTTTATATTTTTATATTTTTTATATTTTAAAATTTTCAATTTTTTATTTAAGTCTACCAAATTGATTTTCTGAGCTCTCCGAAAGTACTATAAAGACCGCAGATAGACCAAAATTTCTGCGCCGCAGGCAAATTTTTGAAAAAAAACAGGTAAAAAAAAAGCAGTTTTTGGGCAATTTTTGGAAAACTTTGACAAAAAAAATCGCGTTTTTTTTGCGGGCGCTCCCCCTCAAAGTTCAAAAAATTTAGGGTCGGTCGGCCAAAAATGGATTTCTTAAAAGTACCAAAGGGGAGACCCTTTGGGTCGACAGGGGGTCAAATCCCTGAGGGGGGCGGGGCAAGCATTTTTTGGCCTGTTTTTTGAAAATTTGGTCGAAATAAAGTTTTTATAGGGATTCTGGATAGATCAAAAAATCAATTTGGTCGACCTTGAAAAAAGTTCAACAAAGTTTTCAAGTTTTTCTTGAAAATCCACCCCTCCTCGCACCCCCTCGAGAAAATCTTAGATCCGCCCCTGGCTTAAAAAACCGATTTTCATACACCGAACGTTAATTGCTCGCTGTAATTACTCGAGTGGCCTAAAAAGTTATTATTTCAAGCCAAAATTCTTTGACGAATTTTTGTTATTATGGCTTTAGTGCGGCTCATAAAAGAAATTGCGTGGAATTTAAAAAGTGTCGACAGAAAAGTGATTTTTTTTTGAAAAAAAAACGCCCCCAAAAAGTTTTGTGTACGCCACTAGTTATCAATTTTTTTCATTTAGGCGAAGAAGCAAAAAAAATTTGTGATTGCGTAAAAGTAAAATTTGTTTTCTTTTTTTTCAAATTTAAGCAATCTGAGCACTAAAGTTTCCAGTGCTATCAAAAAAGAGATCCCAATAAATGTATAACGTTTTTAATGGTTTTGTCAACAAAATTGATTACCAATGTACAGCACCCTTAATATTTTGTGAATATGCATCTATCAATATTGATTATGAACAAATTTTTTAGCAATACAATTGATTTTCTTTCTTAATCAAATACCCAGAAGTATCGACTCATGATCGACCAAAAGATCGCCTTTCGGACCAAAGTGAAGCTGTCCAATGAAGGCTTCCCACGAAAAATGTGCAAACAGAGCCAAATCATGAGCCAAATCATGAGCCAACCAACGTCTAATCATAGGCTAGACAGGTTATAACCTGTCTAGCCAACGTCTAATCATAGGCTAGACAGGTTATAACCTGTCTAACCAACGTCTAATCATAGGCTAGACAGTTTATAGGCTCAGAGCCAAATCATGAGCCAACCAACGCCTAATCATAGGCTAGACAGGTTCAAATCAGGGGTCAAGTCGTTGAAATACAAGTTGGTTTTCCTAACTTCGGTTTGTAATTTTTCATTAGTTTCCAATTCATGTGCTTCCAAACTATGTTCATAGGTCATACTGGGCAGGGAAATTCTACGGTTGATCCCATTTGCGTATCCAGAATCTTTCTGTTTTAGTTGAAGCGGTGCGAGGCCCCTGATTCTTGGTTTGACACCATGGTTTGAAAATCTAACCAGAAGATGCAAAACTGATGAATCGAGAATTGGAAACTAAGCAGAGCGGGCAAAATTTTTCGATAGCCATTAAGAGGAGCTCAAATTTGTTTTTGAAAAGTTCTAGTAATTTTACATTGTATAATTATATTAACATCAATCATCCAACATCTTTCGTTCAACTAAAATCCAAAGAGCAAGAAAAAATTTTAATAGACCGACAACGTACTCATTTTACGCGAAACGAGACTTTTAGTATCAGGCGGAACCCTGAATTTTCCTACTGCCCCTTAACGTCGCTGAAAAGATTCTTCATACTGCCCCCTAAAATCTCTGAAATGATACAGCCGTTAACTCCCCACACGCAATAGATAGTACAAATGACGCTTTTATTGTCTAGTAACGCGGTAATAAGAACAATCGTATCAGGGCGAAGCCCAGAAACTTTCGACGGCATTTTGTTTTATATGGAGTAGTTTAAATTGAAATAATTAATGAAATTTTTAAAAAAACAAGAAAAAATTTCAATTTTTTCTGAGTTTTTTTTTGAAAATCAACTGTTACAAGACTGCTCGCAAAGGCCTGAAAATTTTGACTGCTCCTTGATTATAGTCTATGAAACAGTTTCTTAAATAACTTAAAATACAGGGTGTCTCAAAAAAGTATCAATTTTGATGAAATTTGGAACACATATTTAGCAACCTAAGACATAGATTTTCTGAAACATCTTTGAAACATTATCGCTGAAACATGTGTGAACAAAAGATTACACGAAAATTTCACTCCGCAAAGTATCAAACTACATTGAGTTGTTCATGCTTCTCACTTCTAATAATGATGAAGTTTACATTAGAGCAGCGAATCTTTATTGTTTTAACGTTTGCCAGTACAAAACAAACAGATGAGACTATTCGTCAGTTCGCTTTTTTCCCCAAATTGTTCCGCTTCAAACAGATCTCGAGTTAGTAGATTTATAAAAAGTGCCAAGAAAAAGGCACCAAATAAAATCTAATTAAAATTAACTCCGGGAGACAAACGGGCAAATATTATGCAAATAGAGTCTACAAAGAATCTCGTTTGGCGATTTTAGATGGCCTGAAAAGGAAAATTATCCAAAGACTTGCGGCGATGAAACTTGAAAGAAGAATGCTGAGGAAAGTAGCTTTTGGGCTGCAAAAACGAGCCAGAAGATATCTGCATCTTAATGGCGCACAAGTTGAGGGACGTACAGCTAGAGTTTAGAACATACTCTCAAAAACAATTACAAGTTTACCATTTTATTCTGTTTGATTTTCAACTTTTATTCAAATGAACATTAAAACAATTTCTTCGTGGAATCTTTTTCGCAGAGTAAAAAAAGGAAGTAGTTTTTTCTCCCCTTTGAAAAAAAAATTATCTGTGACTGCACAACGTGTCTTGGGCTGGTAGGTATGTGGGCATTTTTTCAAGAGAGTTTACCGAAGTATTTGTCGAGATATTACATTTGGGATCTTTTTTGTTACACCCTCTATAATAAAATTTCATAAAAAATAGGTTTTTTTTAAATTGACGAACTAATTTTACTCGATTTGCTTGTTTTTTATAACTTTTTAATTTCAGTTTAAAGACAAATGACAAATTTAGGAACATTTTAACTTTTTAAGTAGCCTTTTCGAACAAAGCTGTTATCAAGTTATTCTCGAAAACTCCATCAGAAAGTTGTTGACGTCCTGTGTTGAAATTTATGAAGATATATCACCTGTAAGCATTTTTTGTTGTTGAATTTTTCGAAACCCCCCCCCCCCCTCCATACACTGTGTAAAGTTCAAAGTGATGTAGTGTGGTCTACTAAAGTATTAGTGATACAAATAGCTGCCTCAAGTCACTTAGAACAATTTTCAAAGTTAATTAAATCGCGATTGCGCGATTGCGATATATCGCGCGTTAGTTGCCCAAATTCGCTAAGTGAGCAGTTTTCAAACCCCCCATATATAACTCGCGAGTAAAATACTTTTAAAACTTGAGCTCATAACTTTTGTATCTTTCAAAGTGGCTTGTATCTTTCAAAGTATCTTTCAAAGTGGCTTGTATCTTTCAAAGTATCTTTCAAAGTGGCTTGTATCTTTCAAAGTATCTTTCAAAGTAGCTTGTATCTTTCAAAGTATATTTCAAAGTGGCTTGTATCATTCAAAGTATCTTTCAAAGTAGCTTGTATCTTTCAAAGTATCTTTCAAAGTGGCTTGTATCTTTCAAAGTATCTTTCAAAGTAGCTTGTATCTTTCAAAGTATCTTTCAAAGTGGCTTGTATCTTTCAAAGTATCTTTCAAAGTAGCTTGTATCTTTCAAAGTATCTTTCAAAGTGGCTTGTATCATTCAAAGTATCTTTCAAAGTGGCTAGATAAAACATAAAACCACAGCAAGCACTATTATTTCATTTTTTTTCTCGAAATTCGGGGAAACAACTTAATTTAAGTTTTCGGGTCAATTAACATTTGGTGTAACCAACACTTCATATCTAATTGAGTATGTTATGCAGCTTGTTTTGATAAAATTTGGAATATGCTAAGCGACTGTCATGTTAAGGTACATGACTCTCTTGGAACTGCTCCTCAATGCAAAGGATAAAAGCAAGCACGAAGCACGACCTGGGTCTAAATCCGCGACCAATATCCAGACTTCGAAGGTCGCACCGCACACCTAAATTACGTAGTCGCTTTACAGCTTAAGGTCACGAAAGTATAAATAAGCCGCGAAGTTTGCGGTCTGCGGCGCGTGGGAGTTGCAATTTAAGCAGCAAAAGTTTGGACGTAAACAACAAATTCTGGACAAAAAGCTGCAAGGTTTTCGGCTAAGGCAGCAAAAAAACTTCAGGACAAGAAACACGCACATCTTAAAATTAAATTTGGCCGGCTCTTAATGAAAAATTTATGCGAAACAGATTGTGGTCTTGTATAGCTAAAAATTCAAAATCTGGTGTACCTTCGTTAAAAAAATTGTTACATGAGTCAGATCAAAAAGTCGTCAAGAAGACCTTTTGTGCAAAAACAATAAAACAAAAGTGCATCACGAGAGCAAGCTGCTTCAAAAAAGGCTAAAGTAAAACGGCGGAATTAGTCGCACAGAAAACAAAAAAAATCTTAGAGAAAAGAAAAAAGCATAATAATGTCAATGAACTAAGCAAAATAGGTCAAATAATTGTTCATCGGTCATTCAAAGTGGAAAGAAATAGTTTGTAAGCATGTACAACAGCAAAAAAACGTCATGCAAGCACAATTATTATGTTAATTTCCAATTTAATACAAACACACTTGGGAGGTCGTCAAAAGTCAATTACCCGTCAATGTGACGCCTATGAGGAAAACAGCTTCTAAGCAACCTTATCTTGAAAAAAAGAAGCTAATTTCAGTTTTAAGACAAAAAACTTAAATGTTTAAAAGCATTCACCGAGCAGAAAAAAAAAATAAAAACCTAACCTTAGTCTATGTAGTACTCAAAAAAGCAAAAAAAAAACAAATAAATAATTTTAAGTCTTGATTGTCGTGAATAAAAACTAATTCGAGGCTGTGCCGCTTTTTGCTTTGTTCAAGTTTGTCTGTTTTACAGAAACCAAAAACAAAAACTAAAATTTTAAAACAATTTTAGTAAAAAAACTTGAAGACATTGTGTACTATAAACGCTACTTTATAAAAAAAAACTACAGGTAGTTGTACAGTACATTAAGTTTTCAATTTCTTCTTTTTGTCCATCACAAAAATTCTTCCAGTTCAACTGTTGTTATTCAATTGCCTAAATAAAAACTTGGATGCTATTTGTTCAAACTTTTAACCAGAATTTTCATCTGTTCATAATTATGGTTTTCTTTCCATGTATTTATTTATAGTTAAAACATAAAAAATACAAAAAATTAAAGATGAAAGTAGCCTCAGCATTCGATTTTAAATTTTTGCTAAATCCGATATACCAAAACATCACACTGTATAACGAGTTTTTTGAAAGACTTGACAAGCCGAACAAGGACGTCATGGTGAAATACTTTCTGTAGTAAAAAATTTTGTTGCTAATCATGTCAAAATTACAGCGTAAATTTGTAATATGGTTTTCATAGCCTATGTTTTAGTCTAAAATTGCTTCTAATTATTTTAATTCGGATGAGCATTCTCGTTGTGTGTAGTCTATTGTGACCAAAATTTACAAATTTTTTCTTAAGTGAATAATTTTGATTTCAATTTTTTTTTACCGTCAATTTATTACACACCATTCAGCTGGATATTCAACTAGTCGTAAGCTTTTCACACTTTTTTATCCCTGGTCATTTTTTGGTCGTAAATTTGTCAAGAAATGGTATTATATTACAAAATATGTGCTGTAGAAAATAGCTATATCTCACATTTTGCAAGATAAAGTTTTTTTGTGATTGATTAGCCAATTACAAACCAAAAATATTTTAAAATCAAAACTTTCAATTGATTTAAAAATTTTACAAGCGCTTCTTTGGTCTCAAAACTATTGATTTTTGAATGAGTTTTTGAAACTTGTTGTTACAAAATTTGGGCACGTCTATGCTTAATAAAATCCACAAAAAAATTCAATGGAATCATTTGAATGAATCTCTACTTACCTTTGACATTTATCTTATCGGTATCTTTCGCAAGAGAAAACTGAATTTTTAGTTTCGACCGGAGTATTTTAAGAAGGAAGCATAGCTGGCAAAAATGTTTGTATCTTGTCTATATAATTTTTGTTAAAGACGTTTTTTGTCACATTTTTTTTCACCATATTGCTCACACATTATTTTTCTTCTGCTCTAGAAATTTTAATTTTGCGTTCTTTCATTGGTATTATTTTGCCTACGGATTTTCAAATCATAAAGAAATTTGCACCACTTCCGGTAAAAAATACGTTTGTTGTTCATAAAAATAACATATAAGAATTTTAATAAAGGAACAGCAGATTCTCTAGCACCTATTGCGACTAGCTTAACCAAAGTGATAAATTATTTTGGCGAAAAAACGCGGAGCCTTTTTTTTGAAAAACTCTCAGGTTTACACATAACACTCTATATATTGCTTTTAAAACTTTAAAATTTGAAAGAAGGAATTAACACAGAGGGGAAGTTGCACTTCGCATACACAAGCAAAGATATGACCGATAATGCTACTGGAAAGAAAATTGAATGAGTAACACTTTGAGTCTACAAAGTTTCTTAAGTGACGCACGCCAATTATGAGTCTACATAATTGCTAAGTGACGCAAGCCAATTATGACGTATTAGGAGTACCAGTCAATTTTAAAATTGAAAAAAAAATTACCAATTAACATGCCTCAATTTATAGAGCGGACACATTTTAACTATTATACGAAAAAGCTCAATAAAAATATCTGACCCTGCGCAGGATTGAATTCTCTCATTTTGTTGATGGTCTCCTTCGCTACCTCTACGCTACAGATCCATGATATCTTGAAGCTAAAGTGCTATTTGTAATATAATAATCTGTGTTAATATCCTTAGCATTGGCTGTACTTAATAGCTGGATCACAATCAACACTTTTAAAATGAACACATTGTGTTGCAACAATTGCATCACAACAATATTCGCGACTTAGGTCGGGAAAAAAAGATAAATCATACTATAGCACAAGCTATGCTTGTGTAAAAACAAACGTTTAAGACTTTACAATATATCACAAACACAATCAATTAAAAAATCATATAAAATTTTTTTTTCTAAAAGCGTGTCCGATCATAAATTACGATCAGAACTTTCACTGCTACTTAGACAGCTACCATTAGCTTTATTTGTTTAGATTCGACAGTACATAAAGAATCTTTGGAGATTAAAATTTTCATCTTTCTGGTTATAAGTGATATCTTTTCGGAGAATTAACATTCTTCAGGTTAATAACATATCTACCCCAAGCAGTGAAACACGTATCAAAATACTGAATAACAAAATCAAACTGCAGGAAAACTTTCTGAAAGCTTGACTTAAAACTAACAACCAAAAAAAAGACCACACATTTGTGCTTTAAAATTCTTGTTTTTTTTTTAAATTCTATTCGCAGCTTTATCGCAATTATTAAAAATCGCTCTACTTAAAAAAAACTTTACGCTATTCGAATTATAATTGCTCGGTCAATTTCCATACTTGGCGAATAAAATCATACTCAACTTCAGAACAAAGTCGGAACGTGCTATCAGATAGTGACTTTGGGAGCAGATCAAAGTATGGAGGAATATCCGGCGCTTCCCCATTTACAGCGAAAAACATCACCGGTGCAAATTGGAGCTAAATTTCAAGTGACCGTTTTCACTGACGAACGCTCCTTTATGAAACTGCTGCAAAAAGACCACGATATAATATAATGGAAGATTCCTTATCAAGTTTTTTTATGTATATCCACTGAGAAGTAGAAATAAACGTACTGGATATTATATACAGATTTGTCGCCAATAGACAGATTTGTCACAGACTCACTTGTGGATACGTTTGCTCAATTTTTCTGTTGAAACTTGATTTAATGATTTAAATTTTTTTTAATTCCACCTTTTTCTACAAAAATGCTAGAGCGGCGCCTGAGCCTACCTAATCAGTCTGAATTCCAAATTTTTTCAAAACTGTGTGGATTGAAATCAAAATCATGACTAAATGGCTTCGATTTGATATATAACGCGATGCATTACAATATATGTGTATTGTACTTGATATCGCGTAAAAATAGGCAACCAAATTTTTTTTCCATTCTGTGAAATCTTGCTTTCAAAAAGTTATTTAAAAGCTTAGCAGTGAATTCAAATGTCTATGAACGCAAATACAGTTTTGGCTAACAAAATTCATGAATTATGAGGATTTTTTTACACTCTTTATTCCCGCGAAATAGCAAAATTTTGCCAGTTGTAACTTTTTTAATGTTAATAAAAAATGTTAAATGAAATTTTTTAATGAAAGAGCGAGCGTCCATCAACTGCTCAGTTTAAATTTATAATTCAAGATATTAGAGAACAAATAATCATTTTTACCACTACAACGCGAGTGCAACACTTTTTCATGCAAAAGTCTCAAGTATAACAGAAAATCAGCCACGTTTTTTTATATAGTGGTTCAGCTAGTGGCTTTGGGCTCGGTTGACATTTTTTTGTTCATTTTTAGAGCTTTGTTTCGGTTCAGATCTGTCGAGTTCAGCAGTCAAAGAATTGACGGCGAATCGATTTCATTTGAAGACAAAAGTTACACCACTAGTTCATATGAAACGTTTTCGTATCGCTATGCTCGTGAAATAGACTAGATCAAATTGTACAATTTTAATATAGAAGCTCAGTTGCAAACATCCGACAAAACTTGTTTTCACAATGAGGCTAACTTTACTGCCTTCTGCTTAACATCAGAAACTTGATAATTGACGACTAAAGTACCGCAACGAATTCTTTTGTGTTTGTTTTCGTGTATTTGATTGGAACTCCACATCTAGTTACGATGGATTGAGGATGTATTTTATTTCAAATGCTCTCTTTCGATCAGTAATATGGCATCGTAATCTGCTGATCGTTTTGTCCCATTTGGGCCTCCCTTCTCTGTCCTAGTCTGAAGGGTAGAAACGGGTTCCTCAAATGATATAAATCTCTTTGGGGCTTGCGAACCTCCGCTTCCTTCAAGTCCCATGAAAACGGACCAAAACCACTCCGTTTTTGCTAAAAACAAAAATGTTCTCACCAAATTTCCAAAAAAAACTGGAGTATTCTCAGAAAAACTGGAATTTGTTTTTTTTTGAGATTTTCGAGTTCTCAGGTTGGAATATCAGAAGAGTTCTAATTGGCTTATACTAAATTTCCATCCTTCCGTCCATCCACCATGAAGATTCCCCCAAAACACACCCATATTTAGTTCCTCCAATTCTGGAAAATAGTCCCTGCACCAAAGGGGGTGAGTGGGAGGGGGAGGCTTGAGAGAGCCAGATCTTGTAACCCAAAACTCACGTTGCAGAAGAGGAGGGGAAGTTTGGGGTTGCAACTCTCTTTCGAGACTACTAGTTGTGTCTCATCCATTGGAACACACATAGAAACGCCAATCACAATGGCCATCATTGCAACCAGAAGGAAGCGTGTATTTCCTAGAAAGCAAGAATGAGTTCAGGTAACAAGACTTGTTATAAGACTAATTAATTTCGGAAATGTTTCGTTTAGGAAAGGTATTTAAGAATGTCTCATGAGTTTTGGACTGCCTCTGAGCTAATCATTAGTTCGATGAAAGAGACAAGCTCTTTTTCCTCAACCCCCCCCCCCCCTAACATGCATTTTTGGTATGTTTTTAAAGTTTTGACCAAAAATTGTGTTTTTCAACCGGGTATTACTTTAAACATATATGAAAATTGGCTGTTAATACTTTTTAGAAAACCACAATGGAATCGAACTCCTGAGGGAAGGGGCGTCCTCCTTCCCCCTTAATTTATTACTACCATGATTAATTCTATTGAGCTGCTTTACCTCGAGTCCTGGAAGATATCCATGGAGGGTCAAAACTGTTCATTTCAAAGTAGTTTAATTAGGTCAGTGCAGCAAAAAAATTAATGCATTAGTTTTTGAAATGGTCTTTATACAAAACAAAGGGGAATAATTCGGCAAACCGATGATCAAAACAACACTGGTTATGCTACCCTATTCTCTAGTGTAAAATCAAATTGAGGACCATTTTTTGTAATTTCACGACATATGGAGCCATTCAATGGAATAGACTAAAAAGTAACTCACATTTTAATTTGCTTTTTAGCCTAAAAAAGGGGCTTTAAATTTGAAAATTCATCTATTTTCTGTCACTAAAAAAACAAGAAAACTGCCTGTGTCATGGCGAGTCCCCGAATCTTCCGACTGTACTTTAAGTTTCCTCCGGTGAACTTTTTCCCAAATTAGTGAGAAACTTTTCAAAAAAATTGGAATACAAATTGTACAAACCACGCAATATATGGATGAGTGCCTTAATGCGATAATTAGCGTGCCTTAATAAATTTTGAATGATTTCTGAGCCGAATTAATTCGCTGCATTTGCTACGTTTTAATATAAAGCTGGAACATGCTTGCGGACTATCTATCTCGAATTGGCCAAACTATCTCGATTTGGCCAAAATTGATAGTCTTCAAATCTTTTAACACCACGAAACATAATCACCGGCGAAGTTGTTGTCTTGTTTTGATTTCGAAACATCCATAAAACTTATTTTAAAATTCTTTTAAAAATAGTTCACTGAAAACTTAATTATGATCTGAATAAAAAAGCCTAACTATTCGGTCACATTCTTCATTCTTCGACAATTAGAAGAACTAGAACTTCTTTCTGATTGCAGTCTAAAATTTTTAGCAGAGAGAAGCCAACTTGAGACTGTTCGTTGTAGGTCTAAAAATATTTTAACGCCAGCGAGAACCAAAACAAACCACAGAGGTTTATTTCAGAAAGTTGTTAACATAGCCAGCTTGCCATAAATATTTCATATTGGTTATACTGACAGCTTTCGAGCCTTTGCGAAAAAATTTTGACTTTTGATGGTATAGATATATTTTGTGTTTACGAAAACAATTTAAATTGGTGTTAAACAAAATTTACATTTTAAAAACCGAAACAAAACTCTGGAATCCTACACAGTTGAAAACTTAACTCCGAAAATAACTGGACTAAAAACAAATGTTCCTGGCTTAAATGAAAGTTATTTTCCCTATCATAAACCTGCTCGCCCAAATCCATATCTAGAATCGGATTTTCTCAAAATTTGACATGATAAAAATGATAAGCTTTTACAAACTTCTACATGATAAATGATATAAATTTATAGTTTTTATATGATATATGATCAATCGATCCATTCTAATGATTATTTAGGGTACCTGATTTTGTGAAAAAAAGAAGAAACGAAAAAAGGCAAGAAATTTGAAACAACCGAAGACAAAGTTCCTCCTCAGTGAGCTTAGGTCCGGGTGGCCTTCTCATAGAATAACTTTGGATAGGGTGCACCGTCTGTTGGTCATTCTATCTTATTTCCTGCCGGACAGATTCGTGCAACTTTTTAGTCTAATACCAATCCTAATCTTATATCTCTTAGTCTCAATAGATCTATCGTATACTGGTATTCTTGCGACGTAAGAGGAGAGAAAAGGTTAACTGAATTCTAAGCTGTATTATACTTTCTCTCGCTGAAACTATGAATAATTTCAGCTTTACAATTTATCATAAGTTTTAGTAATGAGTCGTGATTGGCTACGGGGATTTTCGCATTATTTGCAATGTTATTCAAATTTGACATTGCAAGCTCGTGAAAAAGAAAAAGAGACGGCAGCCGCTAATTAGACGAAAAGAGCTTGAAAAATATGATCAACGAAAATTCATTCATTTTATTTTATTCGAAAGAAAAGCAGTTCAATCAGGGGAATCAGCCTATATATTATGAGCTGAAACCAATTGAAATGATTGATTTTGCTAATGAGAATAAAAGAAAATAAGCAAAATCAGAAATTGTAAGTTCAAAATTACATGAAAAAATTTATTTTATTTACATTGAAAACAATTCATCTCAAAAAAAATTAGCCTGTAATTGCTCAGACAACAAAAATAAGCAGAATAATTTCCTCGAAAGTATGCTAAATGTCTTTCAAATTAAAAAATTGTTGAAATCATCACATTCACAATTAATAATATTTTTGAATTTGTTAGCATTATAGATTTATCATTGCATAATTTTTGAAATAATGTGAAGGCAAAGGTGAAGGAAGGTGAAGAAGCAAATCAATTGGATGTTACAAACTAGCGGACAGAATATGAGCCAAAAGCTGTTAAATAAAAAAAAACAGTTTGGAAAAAGATTTGAAAATGTCTACAAATTTCTGAAGTTACTATAAAACAGATATTGACCAAATTAGATTTCACTCTTTTTTCGTACCGAGCATAGACATTACTGTTAAGCCAAACGGGCCAAAGATGTGGAATTTAACAGAATTAAAATTTCCTGTTTTACAGTATCCATTCAGGTTGATAAAATGATTTTGTTTCGAAGACAAGTTGTTCACTTGAAACTTTTTTCTCATTTGATATTGCTTGCGAGTTGCAGGCAAAAACAACTAACTTATGAGCACCTAAAAAAATAATGAGGCAAAAAAATAAACAAAAATTGAGACGAAAAATGTTTTGATACAAAGTTAAAAGAAACTGATCAAAAACTAAAACCAAGTGAAAGATCAATTGTCTAGAGATTGTCTAACAAAGTTGCTCAAAATTTTTGTAGAATTAAGAAAGAGTAATATAATTTCCAGCCCGAATTTTGCCCCTGAAATTTAGACAATCAAAAGTAACGCCTGAACTAGCGGATCAATGACTGAAAACTGTATCAAAGTGAGACTCCTATGTAGCTGAACAAAATTTAAGAAGAAAACAAAATCTAAAAATATGGGCAAAACGTCTGCTTTAAAATTGTGTTCAAATAAAAAGATTGCCATTTTTCATAATAAAATTGATCCTTTCTAGCTATTAAAAAAATTAAAACAAAACTTAAAAAATAACACTCTTCTTGCCTTCTTAAATTTTGTTGGCCTACATAAGAAGCTGAATTCATTATAGTTTTTTCATTAAGTGCTCCGGTGGTTCTGAGGTAACTTTTGATTGCCTAAGGAAAGAATCCAGATTGGTTTCTGCGCAAAATTTTGGGCTCAAATTTGGTTAAATTGCACCAAAACAATTTAGCTAAAATTCTCAGCAACTTTTTTTCCTCATAACTTTTTGTCTAAACTCAACCCAATTTGAGAAAAACGCGTTTGAAATTTCAAATTTTGTTAATTTTGTCCGGATTGTTTAATTAGCCAATGTATTTTGGTTTTCCTTTTACGGAACCTTATAGCTTGATTAGTTTAGTTTTTTTGAAAAAGTTTTTTGATTTTCGTTACCTGAGAAGAGTAGTGTTTGCATCGTAGTTGTGTGGTCAACTAAACGTCAGGTTGTGTAGTTACGTTCGTTAATTAAGCTCAGATTATGATCAAAGCAGGTTTGATTGAGGTTTCTATTGACAGCCATACACTTGTTCCTATCCCCTTCAAGAGCACCGGATCAGACTAATCTCATGGGAAGCGACGCCAGCAAATGACCAAAAAGAGTCTTTCTGACCCGAACAATGCCACTCATTGTTCTCTTTTTATTACTAAATCAATAGAATGACGCACGAGTAAGGACATACGTCAGAGAAACCATCACCAGGACAAAACAATTGTTAGAAGAAACATTCTCATAAACAATTGAGGATTTAGGGAGATCAAACAGAAAAAAATGAAGAAAAAAAAAGAGCAAAAAAACAAACCCCCTCCGCTAAGTTAGACCATGACTCAACCATAATAAGTTCGATCATATCTCGAAGGCTTGGAATGCTGCATGACTTCGAAAGCAAGTACTAGTATCCAGGGGCGGATCTATGATTTTCTCGAGAGGGGATGGATTTTCAAAACGTTTTCAAAAATTTGTAGGCGTTTTTTAAGCCGCTCGAATTGACTTTCCGAAAGCTATATTTACTATACTTTATCAAAATTTTAAGCACCGTTTTAGGCCAACTTTTGAAAAAAAGTAGTTCAAAATGCCGTTTTTGTGCTTTTTTTTGGAAAATTTGTAACACAAAAATTGCGTTTTTTTAGCGCGAACTCCAGTTCAATATTAGAATAAATAAGCAAAAATGTAAGAGTTGGTCGACCTAAAATGGATGGCAAAAATTAATACCAAAAGGCGGACCCTTTGATTGATGAGGGGGTCGAATTCCCGATAATATGTTATATTTTAGTCGTTCAAAGAAGATTATCTAGCAGGGCTTGCAAGATCACCTCCTTTAAAGATAAATTATGTAGCAAAATCTTCAAAGATATTTTTTGCGGTAAAAAATTGCTGTACACCCAATAGCAATCCATTAGCCTTCGTGAAAGAAGGTAGTAACCTTACCTACTCATACCTACACACAGACCGCTAGGCGGTTGCCCTCAGAAAGCTTTACTGTTCAAATTGTTCATCTAATAAGCAGCTGTCTTTAAAATCTGAACAAGAACTTATTAAAAGCGAAAAAGAACTTATAAAGCGAAAAAAATACTTGCATCTAATGAGAACGTAAATTAAAAGAAACTTTGCATGAAAATTTTAATGTTATAGTTTAAAGTTTAAACATTTATCGTTTCAGAGTTCAAAGATTTCACCCTCTGTCTATTTAATACATCGTGGCGTAACCTTGATTTCTATTTTCAACGCAATCCAACATTTGACAAAATGTAATTTGAGTCAGGATTTCCTGAAAAAATGGGACACCGTTTTGGTATGCAGAGCGATCAATTCGGTCTGAATGATTTTTCTTCATTTTCTACCTATTGATTTCGCACTGTGTATCAGTGCTTTATTTGGGGCTATTCGTATGATTCAACCACCAAGTGTGAAATCCAGAGTTTGGCGAAAATTGAACAATGTACTGAAACTCGATTACTTATGGATCCGTTTGCCTTTTTTGTGGCCTTCTATATTCAAGTTTAAATTACGTGCTTCTCCCAAAAATCAGTAGACGAACAAACCTTGAGCCTTTATCGGTCGCAACTCGTTATCATGCCAAAAAACAAATTTTACAAGTCAATATCAAAAAATCAACAATTTTTGTGTTGATTTTGACTGTAAAAGTGTCAGTTTTAATATTAACAGACCTTATCTTCTTTCCAAATGAGTCTGCAAAGTACAATTTACTGCAGTACTTTTACTACAATTGAGTCTTTGGAGGCATCGTAGTTTTTGCTTCAATCGTGTCCTTAATGGTGTTTAATTATGTGCGAAAACAGAAAAGAAAACTGAGCAGAGAAAGAGAAAATAAAAAAATTTTCTTGCTTTCAACTAATATAGCTAGAGAAAAGGTTTTGAAAACATAGCGGTGAACCTGAATGTAATAAACTTGAATAGCTTTATAATTTGCTTTGAAAGCTCAAAAAATTCAAGTTTTTTTTTGTTTGTGACATAAAAAAAAACTGTAACAAATAGAGGCCAAAACTTAGGAACTCTTTCTATTTCATATAAGCAGGTCTTATATGGAATGGAGAGTGGATTGACAAGTTTAGGAGCAACAGTTAAATTTTAGAATAAACAGTTTAAATATTAGCCGACCTTTTTTTCTTTGCAATTGAGTCTCAGAGTAGATTTAATTCAAAACTTTGGATTTGATGTGGTTTTTTTGCTTCAATTCTATGGTTAGTGAGTGGGTTGAGTCCTGCATACAAACATTGCATCCCCAAATATCAATTCACAAACGACGCAAGAAAAATTATCGGCATTGCAGTTTTCAACAATAGGAATGATAAATACTCTTGTTTTCAACCTTTATATACAAGCGTCATGTACGATATATGCGCAGGTATTTCAACATCTGAGACCCGGCAAACAGCATTCCGGCAATTTCGTTTGCTCATTCTTTCAGGAATCCTTTATGATTGCAGTTTTTGATGACACGAACCTCTTTTTGAAAACTTAGATTGAGAAGTATTTTATTAATTAGAAACCGTAATTTACTTCCTTGTTCAACCAACTAGACTTTATCCTTTTAACAAATCAAATGTTCGAAGTAAGTTGGAATCATTTTGACTATTAGCCTTGTTAACTATAGAAGTACGCCAATTTGGAAATAAGTATACAAAAACAATTCGGAGTAAGTTGTCGCGTTGTTTTATTGATCAAAAAAATTGAGGAAGAAAGCGAGAAAACTTTTGGAACAAAAAATTTTCATTGAAATTACCTTCGTTTTGCCTTTTTTCCCTAATTTACTTTGTAGAGCCAAATAGAGCGTATTTAGCTCATGTTTGAAGGTAGGTGCAAAGATCGAAAAATTAACCCTTTTCGAGAAAATCTGATATATAGGTGATTTTTTAGAATACAATCATTTTCAGGGGCAAAAGCAAAAGATGAAACGACAAAACGAAACTACAAAAAAAAATTATCATAAAAAGTAAAAATAAGCTTTGAATAATAAAATTTTGCTATCTGTCAGATTCCACCCTCCGATTCTCAGATTGAAGGTCTCTTTTTTTGCATCTGCGGCGAGATCCCTTGAACGGTTCGTAACGCAACCCACCAAGCGGGCAGCTAAAAATGGTAATATAGGGCTGACTTAACTTATCCGGACAAAATTTGAATTTTCAAACGCTTTTTTCAAATTGGGCTAAGATTAGACAAAAAATGAAGAGAAAAAGAGTTGCTTAGAACTTAACCAAAATTTTTATGGTGCAATTTTATTTCCGAAATTCTCAACCAAGTTTTACCACAAATATGGGTCATTTTGTCTTTTTTTAGTCGAGAATTACGCTCAAACTACTTTGTTAATAGATGAGAAAATTATACTACCAGAAGCCTCTTACACAGCCCAACAAAGTGACCCCAACGGGTTAAATCTCATTGCTTTACTATTAATCTAAACTATCAGAAAAAAATATTTTCTCGTAAACAGGTTGGTGAATATTGAACCCTTCTAGAGTTTTGTTGAGCTGTGTAAAAGACTCCTTGTGAAATAATTTTCTCATCTTTTAACAAAATAGTTTCAGCGTAATTTTTGATTAATTAAAAAACCGAAATTTCCCAGTTTTAGAGTAAAAATTTGGCTGAGTGCTTAAGAGAAAAAATCTACCATATTAACTCTCGTGAAATTCTAAGCAACTTTGTGCGATTCACTTTTTGTCTTAACTTAACCCAATTTTAAAACGCTTTCAAAAATACAAGCTTTGTTTGTTTTTTCCGTATAATTTGAAGCAGCACTGTTTTGCCACGGCTATGCAGCTAACACGCCACTAAATATCAGATGAAGACAACCACACTTAATTTGCATGTAAAAAACTGGAAAGTATGAAGCGGAATTGTGTACCAATTATGCATTTCAAAAATTTAGCGAAATGATAAAGCTGGGAAATTTATGTTAAATAGTTTTTACCGTACTGATGTATCAAAAAAAGCATTTTACGGTCCGTTTGATGAAGTAAACTGCCAAATCAGCCTGCTTCAAAAGTACCACCAAAAAAAGTACGAACACTTACGACTTAGGCTGGAAAAAACGAAGATAATATTACAGTATTACACTTCGCTTGGAATGTGTAAAAAACGAGGAAAGCATTATTTGAGAGCGTAGTTTGAGCTTCAGTATAGTTTGAAAAACGAACTGAAAAGAAAATTAGAATCAAGCCGAAGCAATGGAAAACACTTTTGAGAACTTGTTCTGAAAAATGTACACACAAAAGTGAAGCTAAGCTTCGCAAAGTTGCAATTTAACAAATAAAAAATTAAATGAGCAAGGCACTCAAAACCTATCAAAGCGGACTTCGGAAGTTGTAAGCGTAAGAGAAACAACAAGAAACAAAATTTTTTTTTTGTTTAAAATAAGTTCGCAAATTTAGAGGTTGAACTAATAAGTTCGCAAATGCATTCGCAAATTTAAATTAGAGGTTGAACTTTTAACATTCTCAAGAAAAATATCGGAAATTTGTACGAAACAAGCAAAATTAGGCAAGCAAGCGCACAGAACTACAACCGACAGCCAATTAGCTGAAATTTAACCAAAATTTTACGTCAAGTTTTAATGGAAAACATGGCTGTACTGCTCAAATAGTATCCACAAAAATCATACAGGTACTAAAATTCAGGTGGTATACACAATTCGGAAGCTAAACTCAGAGCTAAATCTAAAGCCGAAAAATCATCAGAAAAAAAGTAAAATCGATGTTTTATAACTATACGTACAGCCAATCAATCAAAATGAATGAAAAATTTTGAAAAAAAAAGCATGCCAGGACAAAATGATGCAAAATTAAAGTCGGAAAAAAATAAACAGCCGTAACAAATCAAAAAAAAATTCAGCAGAAGCCCATGCCGCAAACAAATTTGAAAATTTCATAAGAAAACTACCATTTCTTCTCAGAACATACACGCATACAAAACTTTTCTGGACCATCAAATGCTGCAAAAAGTTGCCACTAAGTAGACTCCTGGTAGTATCTCTAAGTAGACTCCATAAAACAAGCCGAAACCCACTAAGTCAAAATAAACAGACAAAAAAAAAATTTTAACGAATCGAATAGGTAAAATTACAACTGATGTAAAAAACAAATTTTGATTTGGCCCATTTTTTAAAAGCTAAGACACTAAGCATCTGAAGTAAAACCTGTTTGCACCAAAAATAACTAAAATTACAACCGATGTAAAAAACAACCGAATAGGTAAAATTACAACCGATGTAAAAAACAAATTTCGATTGGCCACTAAGTAGACTCCTGGTAGTATCTCTAAGTAGACTCCATAAAACAAGCCAAAACCCACTAAGTCAAAATAAACAGAAAAAAAAAATTAAAGAAAAAAAACATTTTAACGAATCGAATAGGTAAAATTACAACTGATGTAAAAAACAAATTTCTATTTGGCCAATTTTTTAAAAGCTAAGGCACTAAGCATCTGAAGTAAAACCTGTTTGCACCAAAAACAATTAAAATTACAACCGATGTAAAAAACAACCGAATAGGTAAAATTACAACCGATGTAAAAAACAAATTTCGATTAGGCATATTTTTAAAAGCTAAGACACTAAGCATCTGAAGCAAAACCTGTTTGCACCAAAAATAAACGCTTCGTAGATCTGGCATCTAAGCCGACAATACGTAAGCAGACAAATAATAGGCCAAAATTTTTGAAGCGGAATTTTTACTGTTCGAAGAAAAAACATGCTCTGTTCAGATTCGAACCCAGGACCTTAGCTTTCCTCGGCGCATTCGTTACCTCCAGGCTAGACAGTAAGCACTTTGAATTTGTTCTGAGCTTTTGAACTTAGGTACCACCAGGATTCGAAGTCCTGTGAACAAAGTGTTTACGGGAAAAAGTCTAGTACCCGCATTAGGAGGCCAAACTGTAAATTTTGTGAATTGTAAACGAATTTCGCAACATGACATATCATATTTGTCGCGGAGCCCGTTTATTGTTACTTTTCTTTGATTTTCTGTGCTGTTTCGGATTCCACGAACAAATAGCTAGGACATTATATTGCTCAAAATCGCTCCAAAAACAGGCAATTTTGCGGAATCTGCACCCAAATTTGTGGAACCCAAACAATTGCGGAATCCGGAACAGTTTTTGGTATCAATGAAAAAAAACTATGTTTCTATTAGAAGTAAACTGTCGTGGAATCCGCAAATTTTAAGCGGAATCCGCAAATTGTAAGCGGATTCCGCAAATAGTACTCGAAATCCACAAAAGATAATTGGACTCCGCATAAATTTGCGGAATCCACCTTTAATTGCGAAAGCTGCTTACATTTGTGGAATCCAGAACAGCTACCTATATCCGACAAAATTTACCTTACAGGTATTTGTACGCGCAATCCACGGAAACTAAGTGGAATCCACTTATTATATTGCTCAAAATCGCTCCAAAAACAGGCAATTTTGCCGAATACGCAACAAAATTTGTGGAATCCAATACACGTTTCGCGGATTCCGTAACAGTTTGCGCAATCCATAAAAAATAGTGTTTTTAGTAAAAGTAAACTCGTGAAATCCGCAAATTTTAAACTGAATCGGCAAATTGTAAGCGGATTCCGCAAATTGTACACGAAATCCAAATGATAATTTGAATCCGCATAAATTTGCGGAACCCACCTACAATTTCGAAATCCGCTTAAATTTGTGGAATCCGGAACAGATACCTATATCCGACAAAACTTACCTTGCAGGTATTTCTACGCGGAATCCACGGAAACTAAGTGCAATCCACTTACTTTTTTTGAACATTTTTAAAGACTTGTCTCTGGAATCCAGGAGCGTACAGGCACAAAATTGTGAGCCTATCCAGTGCACAGTTTGGCCTCGTAATGCGATTGCAATACCCTTGTTTATCGCAAGGTATGCAACTGGATGGCAATTTATAAAAGATTTCCGTATCTAGAAGCATGTCTCGTTAGAATAGTCGTTGAAATCATTATCTATTGAAATTTTTTTGAATTATAGCGCCTGAAAATTGCGATGAAAATATTTGCCAGCAGTAAGAAATGCAGTTTTCAAATAAATAACAATTTACAAACAAACTCAAGATGTGATAGATGTGCAAGCTCATGATTGATAAGGTGCAAAAATAGATCAAAATTTATTGCGAAAAACCTTTCGATCAGCAAAACTGATTTGGAATGCCCAATATTTTGCTCAAGTCAAATGGTGAACGTGAAACTAAATAATTATATTAATTATCTTCACGCGAGATGTAATATTTAAGCCATATTGGTGACATCCAATCCAATTGAAAAAAAAACACGATGTAGATAGGACGAGTTATTGAATAGCACGTGTTTAGTGATGCGAGGTGGGATGTAATCTAGTCATGTTTTACACACTATTTAAAATATTATCACTTATTAAAACTTATATAAAACTTTAGTTACTTTCTTGTTTGGAATGATGATTTAATGTAGACGCGGTTGTTAATTGACAGCAGCAATACAAAGTCTCAACGTTTTTGTCCAAAAAATAATTCAAAAATATTTCAAATTCATTATTTTGATTGTTTAGTTTAAGATAAAAACCAACTATGTACATAAAGGCTATCTAATAAGAAGACAATCTACTACGAACGTTTAGAAAGTTGGATGGATGGATGAAATCACACTTAAACCGTGAAATCCCAAGTTTATATTTTATAAAGTATATTTTGAGTTGAGTTTTATTCAAACTAGTGAGTTAGCTTGGTTGTTTTATTGAAATTAATACCGTGTTTGGAGTGAAAGTTTGATGATCAAGTCGTGAAAAAACAGATTGTCGCGTTTAGTTTGCAACCAATTCAAGATCAGTCGATTGATCGTTAAAATTCCTGGGAGTCAATGCACGATGGGCTGTTCCGTGATGTTTAAGTAATTATATTGACTATCTAGGTCGGGGTGCGTAGGCGTCGTTTGCGTGGTTATTCGATCTAGGTGCGAAGTCGTTTCTCGGATTAGCTGTTCGTGGAAAGTCTGTGTTGTAGTCGTCTTCCGGATACCGCATGTTTCTTCCGGACACTTCGCCTCGCGCATGACCACTTAAGCCTAAATAATTAATTATTTTATTATATAAAAAACCGTGAGGTTTTCTTGAAGAAAAAACCTGGATGGTGAGAAGCCTTAAATTTGACGCAAAGGCGAAGCAGAGCTTCGCACCACTTGCGATGCAAAAACATAAAACAAATATGACAAATGTATGAAAACTAATGTCTACCAAATTTTTCAACTTCTCGATATGTCTCGATAGATATTCATTCCAGGCAAAAATTCCAGAAAATTAAACACAGAGACGAAGCGGAGCTTCGCATCACTTGCCATACCACAAAAATAACAGACACTAAATAGCAGACAGCTAGCAGACACGAAAAGAAAGGAGAGCCACTAAGTCCAAAGAAAACGGAAAAACTTTCAGGAGACCACAACTACAAAATGTTGTCTGCGATGATGTTCTATTTGCGGAAAATACGTACAAAAACACATTCCACGGCGTTTGACGAAAATTCAAAAACATTTATGGATTGAAAACAAAATTGTTGTCATGATAAAATTTGAACTATAATATGACCGTTGCGTGCAATCCAGAAGACACCATATAAATTATGATTTCCTCGAAGGACCCAAAATTAGATTAGTAAGCCCAAAGTATATAAGACGAAATCGTGTAGACCGAAAACTTTTTAAGCGAAACAAAAACAAAACAAGAAAATATACGAAGTCAAAGTTAAAAGAATTACAAATTGCAGGAGTAAATGAAAACATAAAAAGCAACCACAATGAAAACTCCATAGAGCAAAAAAAATCTAAGATGAATCAACCAAGCCGACAAAAATTAAGCAGACAAATGAAAAGCCGACAACTTCTTGGAAACAGAGTATTTCCCGTTTGAAAAAAAAAAAAAACATGTCCTGGTCGAACCCAGGACCTTTGCCGTCCCAGGCGTATTCGTTACCTCCAAACTAGATGTTCCGGAGACGCTTAGAAATTTGAATTCGTAATGAACCAAGATTAGCAAGCGTTATTAAATCGGAATATAGACATTTTTGGGTCAACAGTTTGTTCAAAGTGAATCACTTGGTTCTCTTAAACACAAAAATCTATATTCCGATTTGATAACGCTTTCTAATCGCAAGCGTAATTAGCAACGGAACAAAACTTACGAAGAGGCAACAAAGTCGACATTTTTTGAGCACACAAGTTGATCAGAAAAAAATCATTAAGTCCCACCTGAAACTAAAATGAATACTTGCACTTGCAACTGCAGAGAAAAATGCTTACAGAATATGCAAAATCCATAACGATGTGGCAACTTAGCAGACAAAACTTAAGAAAACAAACGAAAGTCCCACAATTCAATTTAAACCGTTTAACACAATTCAAAATATTTAATTTAAATTGCACACAAACTGAAAAACCATGGTCCGGCCGAGACGCGAACCCCAAACCTTAGGATGTAAAGGCAAAGGTGTTACCCCTAGGCCAATTGGAAAGGATCGTGACATATATAGGGGCTAGCGAGAACACAAAAAGCAGCACCATGACAAGCAATAAGAAAAAATATACGCCTCGAATTAAAAAAAAACTAGACTACGTCTCGGTTTCGATCTGCGAGCTTGAGATTAAAAGTGTCAATCTCTAACCACTCAGCAACGGACGCTAAATAAATCACAAACACTAGCCACAAATAAAGCAGAACAGATGCTATGGAACTTCTAATGCTACAAATCGTGTTTATAGCAAAAAAGCCACCAAATAAGTAACACTTTTATTTGCAAGTTAGGTGAGAAAAAAAGAAAAACAAGGATATTGTAAAAATTAAGCCCAAAAAACGTACCAGATATTACAAACTAAAATTAAAAAAGAAAAACGAGCCGATGAAAAGTAGGAAGAAACCACCAATACGAACATAGCCAATCGAATATTGTAAACATAATAAACACTTATTTTGTTGAACCGAACTTTCAAATTTCAAAGAAAAACATAGATACCATTTAAGTAGTTTGAATTTATAGAACGATTTCTGATAGGTGCTTTTTCGATAACCTTAACCCAACTTGAGAAAACATGGATCGATATTCCGCTGGAAATCTAAAAATTCATTTCTACTTTCGTGTAATTATCATTCACGTTTTTAACGCCATTTTCACGTTCGTATTTGGAGAGTGCTATTAACGTCACTTTCAACAGATAAATTTTAATCGATCTGTATGAATGCACATCAGTAGTTATTAGAGCATTTTAAGACTTTCTCCCGGTAAAAAAAATCACCAAGATCTATATAAGAGTCTTCATTACTCTTTACAATAAACTTTTCAAGATTTTTTTAAAAACGCAATTTTCGAACTTCCCCTAATTACTACCCAAATGATAGCAGTCTGCATGTCAGCAGTCGTTAAATTAGCCATTCCTGTTGAAATTGACCATTTCGTGAACAAAAGCTGCAACATAGCTCTTTCTTTTCTTTTTGCATTAAACAGGAAATAATTTTACAAAAAGCAAGGTGCTCAAGAACTGTTAACTCTATAATCGCAAGCGTAAATATTCAACACAGAAGTGAAGCTGCGCTTCTCAAACACTAGCGAAAACACGACGAAAAATCAGCTTTATAAAGTGAAATAAGAAAAGATAGAAATAAGCCTCGAATTAGTAAAACTTTGCTACGTATGGGCTTCGAACCTGTTACCTCGGGAATTGGAAATTCACGCCCTGTACTCTCGGCCACGAATGCTTAACAACCAGCAAACACTAGTCACAAAAAGCAGCTACATATGCTAAAAATTGCCAAAGCCATTCAGCAAAAGTGGCACTAAATACTAATAGACACAATCTTGCAAGTAATAGTTTGGAATATAACAAACTGAAGGCTTCCACACTAAATTTTCATGTAATTAATTGGAAAGCTTAAAGCCACAAAATGTAGAAATTATGCTTTTCAAAAAATTGGGAGATATAATGAGTTCGAAAATTTCTGAAATCGAGTTTTTATAATTGTTATGTTGTTTGAAATAAAAACCTTTGTTTGGTTCATTTGATGAATGTAAAATGTATCAACTGTGTTAACTTATTACTATTCGAATGTCAAAGCACATGCTATCAAAAAGCCGTAAAGGTGCCCCAAAAGAGGCAACAAAATTGCGACTTCGGTTAGAAAAAAAAGATAAGTCGTAGCATAACACTAACGCTCACTAAAATTCGCTGTTGCAATTAATTGGAACCAATTCAAAAACATAGCCAGCATACAGTAGGAAAAGATCCAATGAACTCAAGTAAACAGAAAAAATACTTTCTGACTTTTTCTTGAAAAATCTCAATTTTTCGTAAAATTAACTGAATTTGAAAACATTAACCCGTAAAATTAACTGAATTTGAAAAAATTGGATTGATAAGGTCTTTTTTATTTGCTGGGAAACCTGAAAATTAAATTACACTTTCGAAATTAGAATTCGATCACGGTTTTCGTGACTTTTTCACTTTCGCTATTCGATAGTGGAGATTTTTTCCTGAAAAAAACATCGCGACCTATATAAGAGTCGGAACTACGTTAATCGACTCTAAGCAAACGTTACCTGTCCTTCTTTCCCTGGGCGGAGGCGGCCCATCTCCCCCTTCGTCCCTGTCTCTATGTGAGGTGGAGTGATTAGATCTGCTCTTAACCCCTCCCGTGCCACCATAGTTGTCACGTGACTCTCGGTGGAATCTGCGATCTGTTCTGCTGTCTGCGTGTTCGGATCTGTCCGGTGACGTGAATCCTAGAAAAAAAAAAACTGTTTTTCTTTTTTTCTACGCTGTACTACTGTAAGAAAAGTAACCATGGACACACACTGATATTTATGCGCCAGCAAAAGCAAACAACTACTTGAATCATAGCCATCGGTAAAGAGTGAACATTAGTTGCTGACATTAACTTCAACGGAATAAAAATCAAATGAATGTCCTATTTGTCTTATTACAGAAGCAAAGCTTGATGTTTGTTTTCTAAGCACCCTCAAATCCTTTTAGCATCCCTCAACGTATTCGCTAACTCACTGTTGGCCTGGTCGTTGTGATGTCTTTTTGAAGCTGGGGCCCTGGAAGAACTGTCGTGGTGGGATTGTTGTTGGGAGGAGTGAGAATTGGCTCCATTGTGTTGGTTGTGAGAGGCGGCGTGGTGGCCCCTGGAAGAGGAGGAGCCTCCCTTTGAGGTCTGCTGGTTGTTCACATGGTCTGAGCGCGGCTGCTCACTTCCACCTCCTGTACATAGATTGGTGTAAATAAAATCAGATATGAACACAGCAGATGGAAACTTGGAAAATGTTTTTAACTACTCCAACTTTTTCATTCACTATTTTCTGTACTAAGAAACATCCCAGCATCATTTCACCGTAAGGACCGTACAGCTTCTTATTTGCTATTTTCCCTTACCAAAAAATAAGCTTAACCTTATTTTAACATCCATATAGGCTAGAAGAAACAGCATATTCACGCAGTGATAGCTAAATTAGATCGAGCTTAAGTAGTATTTAAGGAGCCAGGAGCCGTTAAGGGACCACCAGTCGACCCTTAGATATTAATATAGGATATAGCATTCTGGTTGACTGGAATATGCCTTAAGATAGTCGAATAGCTTCTCCCAAGTCACAAGGTAGGGAATATCTACTGGTTTGGCCTTTCAGACATAATAATAATGTAGTGGTCTTTACCTGAATGACCACTGCGTGTGCTTCGCCTATCCCGGTCCCTATCCCTGTCGCGATCTCTGTCTCGCTCTCTATCATCTGCATTATTGTTGTGACTTCTGTGGTGATGATGAGAGGACCTTTCTTTGTTACTACGCTCCTGCAACCACCAACCCAATCATTCATTCAGAAATACTCCACCAAATCAAAAACAGACCATTTTTTTAGGGAGAGCACCCTTTACATCGCAAAATTCAACGCTTTTTCCAAAAAAAAAGCAAAAACATAGCAAACAAAAAAAACCACTGAACAAGAATTTTTTTTTTTTAAATGTAAAAAAAAAAAGATTTCTGAAAATTTCTTTGAAAGTCACGAGAGGAACTACAAAGAAATGAAAAGCCAACCCGCAAAAAAATCAAATTTGAGTGAGTACTCATTCTACAAAATGGAAAAAAAAACCATCCAGATCTAAATAAATAGCAAGACTTTTCCTTGTTAATCTATATTAAAACTAACAAGCGCTATAAAAAGAATCAAACTGGAATAAAATTTTGGTAATAAAATGTTTGACCTTGTGGGAGGACTGTTTTGACTTGGAGTCACCCTTATCCTTCTCCCTGTCTTTGGCCGCCTTCTCCTCCCCAAGCTTGGATGGTGTGGCTTGTGGGGGTGGCTCTGGCCTCTTCACCATCGGGGGAGGGTGGGTGGCCCTCCAGTACGCCTCCAAGTACTCGTACAAATGCTCACATGCATCGTCCAGCTGATTCTCATCCAGAATCACATCGAACATTTCCTACAACATCCATTTAGAGGTTGTTCAACAAACTGATTGTAATGAACATAACTATAAATACAATAGCTTAAAGACAATTGCAATGAACTAAAAGCTGGAAAAAAACGGAGTACTTTTCAAGAATCTTCAATATATATATATATGGCCTTGAAGCTATTTGAACTTCATGATGATTTTACGTTTGACACATGTTAGATAGGCATGAGGACAACTTTACCACAGCGAAATTGCCAAGTACTAACTTTGTACATGACAACTTGTCCTACACAACCTCTTTCTACGCCATTTTCCCCATAAGTAACACCTGCAACAGATTATTTGATGTTCACAGGAAGTACTATTTATGAGCAGCGAGTGCTTATGGTTGCCTAAGTTCGTTTTCAAACAGACTCTAACAGAAAATGATTTAAAATGAACCTAAAAATAATCTCAACCACAATTTATGTCCAATTGTTACGAAATACTGACAAAAAACTACAATTATCGGCAGAAACACAAAATGAAACTTAAAATATTTGTAACTAGCATCAGTGTTTATAAACAATTCCGCCGTAACATTCAAATTTGATTGACATGAGTCAAACACCGTGGCGAACAACAAGGTCCAGAAGAAACGCCTTTAATTGCTGGACCTAACGCCTGCAGATACATCCGCAAATAGCACTACCATACCCTCTCTATACTGGGGTGCGCGGAAAGCATGCTCTTTACGGGTTTTTAGTTTCGGAGCGTCGTAAGTCTGTCAGATCTCTCAGTCTATTAATTTTAAGCCAACAGCTTGGAGCCGGCATAAATCCCAGCCCTGGTCTTTTTACCGGCCCCAACCCTTGTGAGCAAAGAAATATATGAACCCAAGCCAGCATCTGGTGTCACTTATGTGGATGATAGCATTTGAAATGTCGCAATCTTAAAAAAACTCAGAGCACAATACAATTTTATAGCCCCTCTTGAACTAAATCTATTTCACTCTCCCTTCCCGTGACTAACAATACTAGACTCACGCCAGCCTGTAATTATTCCTGCTCCAAAAACAAATCCCCACACCCAGTTTCCTACCAGATTGAAGCCGGAAAATTCGAGCGAACACTAGGAATTTTTTTTCTGCAGCTATGGAACGATTCACATTAAGAAACGGATAGTTTTCGAGGAACAAAGATAGCCAACAGTCAGTTGGAAAAAGAGCATGAGTGTAAGTACACAGAAAAAAATACTGACTTGTTTTTCTCAACTTTCGAATTTCCAAGAAAATATTTGATAGAATTGAAGCCTTTTGAATTTCTCGAACAATTAATGATTGACAGTTTCTTGATAAAATCGACCCAATAAGAGCAAACTGAATCAAAAGGTAAAATTTTTTTTATTTTCGCTGAGAAATCCGATTATTAAATTCCCTTTTCTAAACTAGAAGTCGATCACGTTTTTCGTGACCTTTAAAGTTTCACTATTTGATAGCGGAGATTGCCTTTAAAAACCTTACTAACTTTTTCAATTTTGATCTCTGATATTTTGATTAGGAGTGTGATGCATGTTCATCTACGCTATTGTCGCTTATAAATCAGTTATCAAATCTTTGATATTTTGAACTAGGCAAACGTTGCGTTGAAATTTTGTGGTTTTCAATTTGGTCATTCATGCCATTTTGATTTCACGCGTTTTTCAATAACCGCACTCTAATTGTCAGCGTTTTCTACAAAAAAAAATCTTCATGTCGACTATGGCCTTCCATTCCTTTCTTTTGCACCAAGCTGGCTTGACACTACGCAAACATTAGCCAACAAAAAAGCAGATAGAACAGATGGTATTAATTGCTTATGCAATGCTATACGGCGATGGTGTCACCAAAAGAGCAGTTTTTTGCGAGTTGGTTTAGAAGAAAAATAGACTCCTAATATAAATATACGTGAATCACATTGCTACGGCTCATTTTGATAATGACGATGAGTTTTTTTTTCGTCCACATTTTTCATAGCTAAAGGTGGGTTAATTACGGTACCCAGGAACCGAATCTGTTTATCCTGATATAATTTTTATTTAGCTATAGTTTAAAAACATACTTTTTGTATCAGAGGGGAGACTAACCGGAGGACATTGAGCCAGTTTCTCTGCGGCCACAAGTTGCACGTTGATGTATCTTGTCTGGGCCTTGCCTCTGGATTTGATCAGACGCTGCATCACCTAAACGACCCATGATCCAAATTACCCCCACGGCACAGGAGTTTAATCAAATCGAAAAACCACTCATGAATTCACGCTTCATTTCTCACACCAGAAAAGGGATACAAGTGGAGGACCTTTAAATAGAGGCTTCTCATAAACCCTCATCAAAGCACCAAGAGAGAAAACACTCGATCGTTACCTTCTTGTTAGCTCCACCCTATAACCAGTACAGAGTTCATTAAAGATTCTTTGAAGAGCAAAACAACATCATTAGCTACTACCTTTTCAATCACACTGCATTCAGTGCATACAATTTAAAAGTGTAAGGAAGACTATAACAGATGCTCTCCTACTATAACTACTCTTGTACCAAGACGAAACTATCTTTTTACTGCCCTTCTACGTTCGATGCGTTTCTCAGAGCCATTGACCTTTTTCGCGCCATTTTTAATTTCGTAAATTTACACCTTCCTTTAGGCAAACAAATATGAATTGAATTAAAAGGAAGCCGAAAATCAGACAAAGAATCAAATTTGAGCCAGAAAATTACATCAAAATAATCAACACGACTTATATACGTGTCGTCACTAGTTTCATTGACACTAAAAACTATTACAGGTGTTATATCATTCTTAAGTTTGAAAGCTAAGATGCCCATAGCTCAGACTAACGATACTAAAGAAAACGTCATCAATTGCTATTACAAAAACTTTGTCAGTGTCGAATCTAAAGAACAACACTGAGCACAAATATCCCATCTTTTCTCCGAAAGTCGAAAAAGCGTAGATGAGAGCTATTCAACGGGGAAAAAATAATCTTGACATAAAACACAGAGAAGAAGCTTCGCTTTGCAAACACTTGCGAGAACACGACAAAACGCAGCTCTATAAAATGCAATAAAAAAGAAATAGGCCTCGAATTATTAAAACAAAAAAAATCCGCAACGTCTGAGATTCGCACCTGCGACCTAAAGACTTAGTGTCTCCTAATCCACTCAGCCACGGACGCTTAGTACGCGCTAACCACCCGGCCACGGACGCTTAATATACACTAACCACTCGGCCACGGACGCTTAATATGCACTAAAGACTAGCCACAAATAAAGCAGAGAACAGATGCTATGCGATTTCCAATGCTACAGTGAAATTTCCATATTAGTGAAGACTTTTAACTAACACTTTTATTTGCGAGCTAGGTTAAAAACAAGAAGGTTCGTAAGAACACACTAAGCTAATTGCAAGTGTAAAGAATTTGATTTTGAAGAAATCCCTATGAGAAAGGCAATTGAGAGGGTAAATCAATTTTAGTATCAAAGGGTATGAAGCGGCAACTAAGGAGACACATACCCGGGTATACTCCCATTACACCAAAAAAAATATATATGACATTCCCACAAAAGATGAGCTAAAATATGACTAAACATTTTTCCAACCTCTACCTTAAAAAAATTTGCTGAAAAACTTTTCCAAAAAAAAGAAGATGAAAACCAAATTTAATCTAAACGCGATTTTGTAACTTACCTTGAAATTTCATGAAATTGAGCACTTCACTAAGGAGTTCTAGCATTTCTGTTAGACAAAAATTCTAGTACCCTAATTGTCGCAAGTGTAACACAGAGTGGAAGATGCACTTCGCAAACTAGTACCCTAATTGTCGCAAGTGTAACACAGAGTGGACGATGCACTTCGCATACTAGTACCCTAATGGTCAAAAGTGTAACACAGAGTGGAAGATGCACTTCGCAAACGCTCGCTTGTGTAAATGTCAAGAAAAAAAGTCAAGCGAAAAACGTTTGCGAGGGTAAAAAAATTGAAAAATAAAAGACCTCCACGGGAATTAAAACTCAGTCCCCAGACATCCAAGTTTCAGAGTCGACTTCCCTACACAAGTGTCCTTATGTAGGAGATTCGACATTAGTTACATATAAATAAGAGAATACATAGTCATAAGCTGACAATACTAAGCAACAAAAGTTCCACCAAAATGAGCACTTTTATTATTGGTCAGTTGAGTTCGTAATATGACTCTACGCTCGCTTGTGTAAACACAGAAGCGAAGTTGTACCTCCTGAATACAAACGAGAAAACTAAAAAAAGTAGCACTCCCAAAAAACGAACAAACATAGCCATCAGAAAGTTTGAAAAGAGTTAATAAACGCAAGGAAACAGAAACAAGACTGCTCGTATCAGGGCGAAGCCCTGAATGTTCCGACTGCTTTTGAAGGTTTATGGAGCAGCAGTAAAAACATATAAAAACATTATATGAAATTTTAAAAAAAAATTTCTAAAATTTGAAATTTTTTATGAAAATCATCCCCCCACACGCCATAGTAAGTACAAAAAGATAGTTTTCGTTCCTTGTAACACATCAATTATGGCAAATAAGCTTCGCTCAACCAATTTGGAACGATTTATAAGACGGATTAAACCTCCGCTTACGCGTTAATAGCGCGAATTACATCGCGCGTTAATTGTCCCAAATTGGTCAAAATGGCAATCTTGAAACCCTCATAACTTTACGAAAAATGATCACAGGTGAAATATCTTTTCAAATTTAAGCTCAGGACAACAATACCTTTTGAATGATATTTAAAAAGTCCGTCAAAAATGGCTAGTTAAAAAGTCGAAATTTGTCTGAAGAAAAAAAACCCACCCCGAGCACAAATATTCCGTTACTTTCGTATCGAAAGTCGGAACAATAAATTCTTGAGTTGATTGAGTCAAAAGCTTGTTTTTTCAAATTTTCCAATTACAAAAAAGTATATGCCCATACAGCTCTTTGAAGTTCAAGATTAAATTATGATTGCCACTTTTTCGATAACGTTAAACTAATTTGAGAAAACTGGACCAGTAGATAATTTTTTCCGCTGGGAAACCTGAAAAAAAATCCACTTTCGAAACTAGAAACCGATCACGTTTTTCGTAACCTTTACACTTTAAAGCCTAAACGCGAAAAATCGAATTTCTGCGAGAAGACACTTCACAATTTTTTCCTGAAAAAAAACGAACAAAAAATCACCACGACCTTTACAATTTCATGAATATTTAAAAATTTTGAGACAAATTAAATTCAAATATAGTTACCTTGGGAGATGCGATCTTGAGGTGAACGATGATTGGAGCGAGGGATGTCTTCACCAGTTGGGAGGGGTGGTTGATGGTGTCACAGTCCAACACTATCAGCTGAAGAGACCTGGCCAGCTCAAAGATCCTCTCTATTTCAGCTTGCACTTCCACTAAAACACACACCACAACCAATGATTTACAATCATCATTAACAATTTCGGTATTTTTTAAAGCTACTATTTTCATTACAAAATAGTAGCGTTACCAAATTTGAGTAAACTTAAGGACTTTATACGGGAAAAAACACATCACGATCTATATAAGTGACAATCACTTCGTTCATTTACACGTAATTAAAGATAGAGAACTTAAAAACCTAATTGAATTTCTGATATGCTACTAACTGAGGGATGTTGATCTGGCACCCTTGTCCATGAGCCCCCCTCCTCCTCTCTTCGAGGGGTTGTTGAGGACACTTCGCTTGGCCAGGGCAATGTCCGTGGTGACCCGAGTGATCACAATACGCCCCTCAAATCTGTGCTTCAGATAGTCAAACAAGGCTTTTTGCATCATGTCTGTCACCTGCACAATAAACATTTTTTGTCACATTTTAAGGCATTTCAAAGGAACTCGCACAAATATTTCGCACGGAAAGGCTAAAACCTTAAGCCTGTACTAAAATATGTGACGTACAGATGAGGAAAAACAAAATAAATGTGACGTAAACAACCCAAACAACCAATCTCTAATTAGTCAATTCCTCTTGATGGATTAATTTAAATTTACAATCATTTGAAGGGAGCTACCTCAACACTCGGCTCAGTAAACGCGTTAGATCACGCGATTCTTTGCCAAAGACGCCTTATTTTTATCTAGAGAAACACGCGAAAAAATACCTCGTATCCCTTGAGAGAAGGTCCAATAAGCACAACTGGTCGCATGGAGGGAACAACATCATAGGGAGGTACATTATCACCTCTGCGGAAGAAGGTGCCCTTACGAGCATTTTTGCCAAGGGGTCCCTTCTTTGAAGAGGAGGAGCCGCCTCCATCATCCGTGTCATTCTCAGCCTCGGTTCCTGAAGAGCATATACAAAATGTCAGCAGAAGTTGTCAGACAATGGAATTATTAGACATGCAAATATTCAAGAAAAGTAACGCCCTTGTCTTTTTCAAACAAGATACATCAACAGAAAAAAATAAATATCCTCCCATGCAATGCTAAACAAGGTCCAACATATCTATCTAATCGAAGATAAAGTTCTAGTCATGCAAAATTCCATTGATGTTTACGAAAATTTTCAGACAAACTAAGACACTTTCCCATTTTAACCTTAAACAAAAAATTTCTATCCCCAAACTTGGATGGCTATAGATTCCATTCAGAAACCAGCTGACACCAACTTTCCTATTTACACGCAGAGGCGGAGCGGAGCTTCGCACCACTTGCGATACAAAGTATATGGCCAAGTTAATTAAAATTTAGCGGAGCTTCGCACAACTTGCGATTTCAAATTGGATGACTATGATTACGTGCAGATGAATTAACAAATCTAAACTTTGTAAATATAGCTAATAGACAGTTGGAAAAAAGTGAAAAACAAGGAAACCGAAAAAGTTGATTGAAAGTTTTCCACCTTTCGAATTTCCAGTGAACACAATTAAACAGAAAAAAAATACTGTTAATTTTTAAAAAAAATCTCAACATTCGAAATGTACAGAAACAATATATGTTCTTGAAGCTCTTTGATTTTCCAGGACAATTTATGACTGATAACTTATTGATTAAATTAACCCAATATGTGAGCACTGGATCAATAGGTAATTTTTCTATTCCGCTGGAAAATCTTAACAGTAAATTGTAAACTGGAAGTCGATCACGTTTTTTGTGACTTTTACAATTTTGCTGTTCGCTAATGGAGTTCGCTGTATGCTAATGGAGTTTGCCTTCCTTTTAACAAAGGAAACGAACAGAACTTTGAAAAATCAGGAGTCGAACCGCGAAAAAGTAAATTTCCTTCCTGAACAAAATTTAACTTTTCCTGCAAAAAAAACAGAAACAAAAACAATCATCAGCACCTATATAAGAGTTCGAATTATGTTTATCGACTCGTAGAAAATAATAAGTCAATCCGCGAAAAATCAAACTTGAATAAATAAAAAATCACTTTTTCGTGAACGAAAAATCATTAATGCTGTGGGAACTGATCCGATCATTTTGACTGTCGAACATTGACTGTCCCGTTAAATTTTTATTAACGACATCGAGGCTAAAGCTATCTTTGCAAGCATAGCCGGTAAAGCGCAAAGAAGTTGTTTGAAAAAGCTAAAAATAAGAAAAAATAACATCAAATTTTGAAAAATTAACACCCTCATGAATCAAACCACAGCCCGCTAGCAAACAAAAGAACTGCTCTACACAACTTGGCCACTGTTTAAGCTCTTTGAATTTCTAGAACAATTTATGATTGGCGCTTTTTGATAATATCAAACCAACTTGAGAAAATTGGTTCAATAGGTAAGTTTTTATTCCGCTGGAAATCTAAAAATTAAATTCCACTTCCGAAACTAGAAATCGTTCACGTTTTTTCGCGCTATTTCCGCATTCGTATACGGAAGGCGCTATTCTCGTAACTTTCTGCAGATGAATTTTAATTTAACTCAATAAGTGCTTATATACCTACGTCCATGCATAAATGCCTGAATATGTATGAATGCACATCTATAGTTATTAGAGCATTTTAACACTTTCCTGATTCAAAAAACAAAATACAAAAAAATAAGCAAGACCCTTATACGAGTCTTCACTACGGTCATTACTCTTAGAAATGAAGACAAAAGAAAAAAACCAAAAATATTAAATCGTAGATGAAAAAATTTTGTTACAATTATTTGAAAAAAAAAACTAAAATTTCATATCACCCAGTTAACTTGCACCAATAGAAATAAATCAAAACGACTTTCTATTATTAAAATTTTCATTTTCAGTTTCATTTTTCACGCAGCAGAAAATTTTCGATTTGTACTTAAGTACAACTCCCATGCCCTGTACCTTTGCCGTCCCAAACATATGGGCTGTCTCTTCACCAAACAGGTAAAACTGGTAGCCAGAACCTGATATGCTGATAAAGTAAACTGATGAATCTGCGAACTAACGAGAAAAGGTCTAGACCCGATTGCAATAGCCTTGCTAATCGCAAGGGTCATTATAAACGATCGAGTGCAATCGGTGGTATATACCAGCCGAAGTATAAAGGAGCCGAATTATGAACCATCCGAAAATACGTAATTGTTATTTCATAATTTGTAACATTTCGAAAGTGATGCAAAATTCATTCGTATGACGTTTTTTTTTCGGCTGGTTTACACGCTGTGGGAACTTTTGGTTGGTTTATACTTCGGCTGGTTTATTTACACTCAAAGCAATCATTTGGAAATCACTGGGGAAAAGGGGGACTGCGATGCTCAATGTTGGCCTAGAACCCCTAAATTTCCAACTTCGCTTCTTCGTATAACATGACAAACGCTGCGGAGTTATCCATCTGACTTGTTGTGTTACCTGAGGCAGGGGGCGTTTCGCCTGTCATTCCTCTATAGCCGCGAAAACATTAACACGGTCACAGCCAGAAAATAAACATTCCTTTAAGCCTGTACTGCATAGACTGATACGTTTATTAGATTACTTCAACAAACTGACAACTAAGCAGCTGTTTGTGAGGCGAATTAACTCATAGATCAACGCACACTTTGGCATCAAATGCAGAAGCTTTAATGAAAGAAGATTGGAATTGATAGAAAATTTATATTAAACTTGCACGTTAAAAAATTCAACTATGGAAAGATACCTTCAGTTAGTTTAATGCCAGCCTAAAGAAGAAAGAATATTCTAAATGACCGTCACAATAATCGAATTTCAAGACTAGTTAAGTCATTTTTGAGCCCACTATATACTGAGATAGACTGATCTATAATTTCGTAGTTCGTTGTTTAAGTTCACCCGTGAATTGGTGCAACATTTAGTGCAGAGGCTTCTCCCATCCAAGCGCTGATCAGTCTAAAGAACTGTGAATTAACGCTTTTAAAACAAATCACCCGGTCAACAACGGATGGCGTAACGTAATTGGTTAAGGGTGCAATTATGCAATTGATCCAAATATGAATTCCCGTTAAGTGGTCCAGTTTGGACTACTCACTCTTTTGCCGTGGTTCTCTTGTGGGACTGGTACATGCGTAGTGCCTCCATGCGGGCGGGGGAGGGGATGAATCCAATGTCTCCCTCCTCCTTCACAATCCTCCCAATCCACCAGTCATTGTTGAACTTCTACACAACACCAACACAAAACATGTCGAACTATCTAATCAAAAAATCTGAACTAAGTGAAAGGGAAAATTGTAACTTCTACTAGCTGCAGCAATTTGTATATTCCTTTAATATACTAATTATACCTAAGAATGAATAAAGCTACAGTTTCGTGTTTCAGACAATTAAGCCTTCTGTCAACAACAAGAGGGACAACGTTTTATTCGTAACAAACAACGTCAATCGATGCATTTTTGTTCAGAATGAACACGTATTGGACTTGAATAACAAGCGAGTGAATGCTGACCTCCTTAATGTGCAGGAAGTCTTTGTTGTTGAAGCTGATGGCCCTGCCTAAATAGGGCACTTCCTCGTCCTGAGTCCCGTCGTAGTCTATGTTGGTGCGCACTGAGAACGCCACTGGCTTTGTCTGCAATGACAATAAAATTTATCACTCACATAAAGCATAATGATAATTACTTGAACTCGTCGAAAAACGTTTTTTGTGGATCTTTTTTAATAATCTTTCATGGTACCTAGTCCTCATGGTATGGAATATCAACACCTATAACAGACTAACCCTACTATAAAGCATACTAGCGTGTAGCACACCTCCGGTGTTTCATTTTTTTTCGACGATTCATAAAAATCCGCATACATTGGAAACAATATCTGCAATCTTTAGTGTACTCTGACTGCAACCAATTACAGGGTTGGTAATTACAAGATTTACAATTTTTTTAATTCCTATTTTGAAAAACCATAAGAGCGTCATCTCGAAAACTTAATGGGCCTCTGGAGAAATTTGGAGGCCAGATTTGCAACTACTGAGAGTCCTTGAAGCCAGATTTGGAGGCCAGATTTGCAACTACTGAGAGAAAAAAAAAGGTTTTTCTGAAAAACTGAAAAAAAGAACACAAAAAATGTCACATCTGGAAAAAATACAAAATTTGAGCAGTCATAATTGGAGGCAAGATTCGCAACCCCTGAAAGTACTCTATAGCCCCCATTTACAGGGTTGGGAATTTCAAATTTTTAAAATAAAATTTAATTAAGTTTTCGAAAAGTTTTCGGAAAATAACCACTGAATTGAAAGTGGAAAATCGAAAAAAAACCCTAACCATTACAATATACGATATAGCTTAAACGTGAAAAAATTCTTTCGTTAAGCATGCAAAAATATTATGTTGAAAAAGCTTAAACGTGGCGAAATAAAGAAGGCCGCATTTAAATATATAATAATAGATATAAAAATTGACCCTTGTAACGCTGCATAATAAACGGTGAGCCTGATGAATTAACGATATAAGGAACATTGAAACTCACATATGCCTTTTCCAAAGCATCAAAGGCCACTTGTTCTAATTCTGCTTTCGTCATCTCCCGATTGGCTCCATTGGCATTCGCTGCATTACCCCCGGACCCACTCGTAGAGGAATTCGGTGCTCCGTTGGAGTTGGAACTGTTATTGTTGTTCGTGTCTTCGTCGTGCAGTGAAAGGTCAGACATGGAGGCTCTTCCTCCTGTTATTCCTGCTGCGCCACTATAAGACTCTTCTGATCCCTAGAAATATTATTTGTCACTTAAATCAGCTAATTATTTAATTACTAAAGTTTTTTCAGGCCATGCATTAACATAACTAATTGAAATCTGAGTACTTTTAGTCAAAACCTAGAACAAAAACAAACTTCATTCAGTTCAAGTGAAAATTTATGATGCATTTCAATTAATTCAGTTGCTAAACAGTGAGAGAAATATCGTTTTCGAAGAATCATTGCAAGGATAGAATAGGTAATATAGTAAAATCCAGGGGCGGATCTAAAACTTTCTCAAGGAGGGGCGGATTTTCAAAAAACTTTCGAAAATTTTGACGACCTTTTTTAGGTCGACCAAATTGATTTTCCGAGCAATCATCAAGCACTAAAGTTTTTGAAAAACAGTTAGTATATACTGTCGCCAAAGGCGCCTTTAAAATACTTTAGGGTCGGTTGGCCAAAAATGGATTTCTTAAAAAGTACCAAAAGGGGATCCCTTTGGGTCGGCAGGGGATCGAATCCTTCAGGGGAAGGTCTTCCCCCTGCCCGCCCCTGGTAAAATCACATGCATCGATTTTTAATCACAAGGAAAGCGGAATTCAACAAGTTGAAAATTAAAACATAGCCAACTGGCAGTTGGAAAAGAGCAATGAACGCAGAGAAACTGAAAAAAAACTATTTGTTTTTTTTCTAAAATCTTCAACTTTTGAATTTCTAGTTAAAAATTAGATGGCCTTAAAGCTCTTTGAATTTGTAGAACAATTTATGCTGGACACTTTTTTTTGTTAAAATTGACCCAATTTGAGGAAACTGGATTCAATAGGTAAAACTTTTATTTCGCTGGGAAATCTGATAATTAATTTTCATTTTTAAATAAGAAGTCGATCACGTTTTTCGTGACCTTTACAATATTGCTGTTCGATAGAAATGCACTGAACTTAAAAAGAAACCACAAGTCAAACAGCGAAAAGTCATAAAAAATGTCAAAAAAATCAGCAAGACCTATATAAGAGAGTCTTCACTACGTTCATTACTCTTAACAAGCATAGCCGGTTACTGGGCAAGTAGCCCAGAATAATACGACCAGTCTTAAAAAAACGCAAAAAAATGTGTCGTTTTTTTTTCTGCGCGGTGTGGTGAAAAGATCTGAACGAAAAATAGAACTTCGACAGTAATACCAAAATTGACCAATTGGAAAACGTTTTTTGCTGGAAAAAAACTCGAAACACAAAAAAAAATCGCTTAAAAAATTCAACAAAAAATTTCTAGCAGAAATTATTTGAAGTTTTTGATTCAAAAAATGCCGCCATAAAACTCCAAAAACTAATTTACCCGAGTGATACTAAGTTTTCACGGCCTAAATTAAACATAAACAAGCCAATGCCAACCTTGGACGCTCACCTTATTAGAACGAAATTAGTATAAAACCAAAAATTTCAATCCGGTTTTTCTGAACACTGGGAAATATTTTAAGGTCGTTCGAATTGCGACTGAAAGGGCTTTAATATGATATATCACTCAACACAATCCGATGATTATTTGTGGTACCTGATTTTGCGTGGAAAACAAAAAAAGTATAAAAAATTAAAACACACGCGAATAAAAAATTCCTCCCCATTTTTCAAAAGTTCGGATTAAAAAGATCAAAATATCTTTTAGTTCCAATGTTTAGTAACAGGCAAAGTTTGATTTTGGTACATGTAATAAAAATTGTAGCTTTAAGCAACGTCAAAAAATTGTGAAATCTCTTTGATCATTTCAAATTTTAAAAATTATATTATTCCTAATATTTGAAATAAAACTAGATTAAAGATTTTCAAGCGATATGCAAATAACTGTTAAGGGAAACTAGCGTGCACTATATAATTATCATGGCCAACATTCCTTGAATAATTTACCCTTGAGTGTTGCGACTTGAGACTGTCCATCTTAGGAAGGGGCATTCTGTGCGGCTGAACCGCTGCTGATGCCATTCAAGTTATCCGACGCCAATGTATTGCGTGTTTGTTGGTCAATAGGGTGACAAATTAAGAGAATAAATCAGAAGCCAGGAAGTAATGCAACCGTTTTGGAATTATCAGCTATAAAAACGTCTGAGAAAATCAAGAAGAAAGCTTAGTGAAAGGGGAATGTCAGATTAAAATGTGATCATTACAGAAATTAGATAGGTAAACCTTGCCAGCAAGTACCTTTTAAACTAATCGACTTCGATTTTGACGTTTACTCACGATGGTATAGTTTGTTGCAACGAAAACCTACTGGATCAACATCATCTTTTCCACGACATCAGGGTAACAGCTATTCAAGCCATACAAATCTGTGAAAATTTTTTTATTTGCATGAGACAAGCCACAAACTGAGATCAGACATTTTCATTGCATCTCAACATGAGCAACATCATAACACTTACTAGTGGACAACAACTTATAAACATATCAAATAGTGTCTTTTAGGAAAGAAATTAACTCCGGGGAAGCCTTATTGTGACCCCTTATTTTTTTAAAAGGGTAATCAGAAGGTCAAAAGTATCATAGTAACCGAAGTTAGTCAGGAGTCCCTTCATCACGTATTCCAGTTAAAATCCTTGGAATTTTCTAGATATGGAAGTGATAATTATAAAAGAAGATGACAAGTGTGACCCCTTATGGTTTATATCATTGGATCTAGTTGTCTTGAAAATCTGACACAATCACTGAAGTACAGCGACAAAAGTTTCCGACAAGTTATATTTTATCCGCGGCCTATCCTTGAACCCCAAATCTAGGGCTCAAGATCGACCACAATCTATTCAGAAACAGATGTAACCTTCAACGCCGCAAGGGTAACCTCATCTGTCACATAATTAACAACAGTATCACCGCCCACTTCAGCAACTATTCTCAGTATAATTACCAACCCCTCAGTATTCCCAAACTTATCATCATCCTTAAGAAGCTTCATTCTGAATCAGGTCTTAAAGGGATTGTCTACGGACATGTGCCATTCCCCGGGATTGGCACTGTCGAACCCGCCGACGCAAACAAAAATGGACGTTAAGGACGTTAGCATCAAATTCGTAGTGAAAAATAGTGTCGGAATATTTTAGAGTTTTGAATTATCAAAATTTGGATTTGAGCTGGAATATTTCTCAGAAATGTAAAACGGCCATTTTGACAAGAAAAGGACAATTAAACAGAACCGAGAGAGACAACCGAATTAACAAGACGAAAATCAGTTGAAAAAGAAAACAGAAATACGAAGCTTATCGTGATAACACGACATGATTTGACGCTAAACTCAGGAAGATCAGAAGGAAGGAAGGTCCAGTGAGACATCCGGAGCGGATCCCTACCCTCCCGTGCCACGAAATCAGGAAGTGTGCCACTCTGCCAGTCTGGCACAGCGCAACCTTCCGACGCAACACGGAAATAGAAGTAGAGGCCTTAATGGTTGAAAATTACTGCAAAGGAGGGTCGGAATATTCGAGAATTTTAATTTTTCAAGATTTCGATTGTCGAACGAATATTTCTCAGAAATACAAAAACGGCCATTTTGACTAGAAAAAGTGATAAAATCAGAAGAACAGCAAAAATAGTGAAAAACAGTCGGACGATAACGATATAAAAACGAAGCCTCTTATCGTGACGATCACGCACGATAACACACTTAGCGGAAGGAATTAGCGAGAAGGGAGGCTTCAAAGGGGAAGTAGTGGAGAGAAGTAACCTCCCGTGCCATGAATTGGGAGTAGTAACGACGTTATTACAGGAAAAACACGGAAGGCTCGGCCCCCCAGAGACGGTGTATGGTGAGGGATTATAGCAAACTGACTTTTTAGCTACTCTGATGCTATAGACATTTGAATAAACACCGCTTTTGTTTGATATTTTAGAATATGAGTAGCTAGAAAGAGGAAGGAGTCAATCCTACTCCAATGGATTTAATATAGAACTGTCATTAATCGGAGGGTCCAAATTTGATAGTAATTGGCCAAATTTTGTTTCCAAACCGAATTTGGTCCGGTTTTTTCTATTGTTCCAGTGCCGTACAGGGCTAATACGCTCGTTTCAAGTATTTTCAGGCACTTTCAAAAGGAATTGCGGAAAAAGTCTCTCAAACCTATATAGGTGGTGAAAAAAGGCCATTATGTCGGGTTTTGCGTCAGGAGCGTTTTTGGCGATTTCTCAAAGACTAGCCAGCCAATCGGGATAATTTTGGTAGCATAAGTCGACATTTTTGACCATTTTCCATTTACCCGGACCGCAACCGTTTTTGGATTGATTATCTCGGAAAAGAAAACTTTTTTAGAAATTGTTGGTTTGGAGGGTCCAAATTATTCTACGCTCCGTCACTGTGTAGTTTTTGGGCGAATATTACATAGACGTTTTTATGGCGCTCCTGGGTGCGCCTCTTAAAGGCATGAGACCATCATGATCAGCAAACGTTTCAGCGACGAACCCTCCTCTCCGGGCGTATGCCCGAGTTAAAGGCCCTATTTACCTTAGTTGTACAAGGGGGAAGGTACGTTCCCTCCGCCTAGTATTATTTAGCTTTTAAACTTAGTTAACGCCGAAAAATCCGGAGGCCGGAGGATTAGGTGGGGAGTCACGAGCCCGTTTGTCCCAATGTCCCGGTACCAAAAACAATTGAAGGGAAAGCGTAAAACCAAACAAAAAAGTGTATAACCAAGAAAAAGCCAATGAAAACAAAAAAAGTACAAAAAAAAGTAAAAAATTCAAAAAAGACCAGAAACAATAAAAAACATAAAGTGACAGTTTATATGTTATTTCCGGACGAGATGTGATCTGACCTTCCTATTTGTTGTTGTTTCAGATTGATTTATATCACTTCTGATAGAAAGATTGTGTGTTTTGGTGACGGGTTGGGTACCCTCCCTTGAGTGTATTTTGAGTATTTAGGCACGTTAATGGGGATTTTGCCGGTGACCGGAGGGTAGAGTGGCAAGCTGACCGACGTGTTCCACACTCAACAGGGGCATCAGGGACAACATTCACAAGGACTGTTGGGTATCGTTGAAACATTTTTAGTATCGTTCGGGTACTATTTCATTAAAACTTCAGAGGTGGGGGGCACGATGTGCGCGGTCCGATTGTACCCTCCATCGATCACGAATTTCCGAGTTAAGAGTCTTAATTCGAGTATTTTGGTGCAAAGGAGGGTATAGTAATATTCATTAACGCCTACTAATAGATTTTTGTCCTTACTATAAATTACTTATCTCCTATTTAGACCCAAGGAACACCCCAATTTTGTTGAAAATTACCGATTTTCGACCAAACTGTTAACCCCCAAGATTGTGGATATCCGAGCTTTTCCAAACAGCAAAAAACTTTTATACGGGGAGTTACTAAGTAGTTCAATCCTTCTAACTAAATAAACCGCACGGAAAAAGACTTAGTAGAAGTTGGCGAAAACAAAATTTTTCGATCAAGTATTTGATAATTTTCCGAATTTTGTCAATTTGTTTTGGTGATCGAGTTTTCGAGTTTTTAGAGTTAGAGCAATAAAAATTTTTGCGTCAGGAGTGAACCAGCATAACGTGCTCGGTTACTAGAGAATTTTTTGAGTAACCCTCCGATTAACTCCGTGGATAGAGCTAACGACTTAAAGATTGGAAAAGGAAGGAAACGGAGGGTCCAAAATTGAGAATTATTGGCCAAATTTTTGTTTCCAAACCAATTTGGTCCGGTTTTTTCATTGTTCCAGTGCCGTACGGGGCTACTACGCTCGTTTCAAGTATTCTTAGGCACTTTCAATAGGAATTGCGGAAAAAGTCTTTCAGAACCTATATAGGTGGTGAAAAAAGGCCATTTTGACGAAAGCGTTTTTGGCGATTTCTCAAAGACTAGTCAACCGATCGGCATAATTTTGGTACCATAAGTCGACGTTTTTGACCACTTTCCCGGACCGCAACCGTTTTTGGGTCGATTATCTCGGAAAAGAAAAATTTTCTAGAATTTGTTGGTTCGGAGGGTCCAACTTTTTCTACGCTCTGTCACTGTGTAGTATTTGGGCAAATGTTTAATAGACGTTTTTATGGCGCTCCTGGGTGGCCTGCTAAAGGCGTGAGACCATCATGATCAGCAAACGCTTCAGCAACGAACACCTCCGCTCCGGGCGAATGCCTGAGTTAGAAGCCCTAGTGACCTTTGTTGTACTAGGGGGAAGGTACGTACCCTTCTATTATTTAGGCACATACCCTCGTGCCTAGTATTATTTAGCTTTTTAACTTAGTTAAGAGCGAAAATTCCGGGGGGCCGGAGGGTTAGGTGGGAAGTCATGAGCCCGCTTGTGTCAACGTTTTTGTGACCAAAAACAATCAAAGAGAAAGCGTAAAACCAAAAAAAAACTGTATAACCAAGAAAAAGCCAAAAAAATTTTAATTTGAAAACAAAAAAGTACAAAAAACAGTAAAAAATTCAAAAAAGACCAGAAACAATAAAAAACATAAAGTGACAATTTATATGTTATTTCCGGACGAGATGTGATCTGACCTTCCTATTTGTTGTTGTTTCAGATTGATTTATATCATTTCTGATAGAAAGATTGTGTGTTTTGGTGACCGGTTGGGTACCCTCCCTTGAGTGTAATTTAATTTGAGTATTTAAGCACGTTAATGGTAACTTTGCCGGTGACCGGAGGGTAGAGTGGCAAGCTGACCGACGTGTTCCACACTCAACAGGGGCATCAGGGACAACATTCACAAGGACTGTTGGGTATCGTTGAAACATTTTTAGTATCGTTCGGGTACTATTTCATTAAAACTTCAGAGGTGGGGGGCACGATGGGCGCGGTCCGATTGTACCCTCCATCGATCACAAACTTCCAAGTTAAGGGTCTTAATTCGAGTATTTTGGTTCAAAAGAGGGTATAGTAATATTAACTAACGACTACTAATAGATTTTTGTCCTTACTATAAATTACTTATCTCCTATTTAGACCCAAGGAACACCCCAATTTTGTTAACCCCCAACTGTTAACCCCCAAGGTTGTGGATATCCGAGCTTTTCCAAACAGCAAACAGCTTTTATACGGGGAGTTACTAAGTAGTTCGATCCCTCTAACTAAAGAAACCGCACGGAAAAAGACTTAGTAGAAGTTGGCGAAAACAAAATTTTTCGATCAAGATTTTGATAATTTTCCCAATTTCGTCAATTTGTTTTGGTGATCGAGTTTTTGAGTTTTTAGAGTTAAAGCAATAAAAAATTTTGCGTCGGGAGTGTATCAGCATAACGTGCCCGGTTACTAGAGTATTTTTTGAGCAACCCTCCGATTAGCTCCGTGGATAGAGCTAACGACTTAAAGTTTGGAAA